TCGCCTTTATTTTAAAATTGTACTAGTATATTATTCTAAACTCGCAAGTATCTTTGCACACTTAAGCATGCCTCGACTTACCCGTACCTAAGAATAAGAATTGCGTAAAGAATTTTGAGGATTAAAAGGAAATGGACATGTTCCACTGCCATAATTCATGAACTATTATATTTAAGTAGGTGAAGTAAAGGTGCAAAGTGGTTAATTAGGCACTCTAATTAGAGAGTTTCGTGAAGAATTCTTCAGATGAGAAAAGAAAAGGAAAAAGGGTATTTTTCCATATGGATATATGGGCCGAAAGCGTTTTACTCAGAGAAGATTTGCGCAATGAGTTCACGCACGCATCATCTGAACCCCGGCAAAACGCAAGTCATGGTGTGAATCATGGCTTAGAGACGATATATACTAAAAAGTTTTGTTTTGCTAGCTGTAAATTGTTGAAAAAAAGCCCCAAAGCCAAAAAGTTAGTGTTCTTTGTCCGAGACATGCTCCTCGGCATCTTAGCTGATGTGTTCTTGTTGTGAAAGATCATGGGCATGCCAGTCCCCTTTTCCATGATTGGCTCGCCGGTTTATGATTGGTTCAAACCCTCTGACAACAAATCATGAACTGCACTGTTTCGAGTAAGCAAAAGGCCCCAAATTTATGTTGGGGAAACCACCGAACTAGCTCATCATGCCAAGAAGCAGACACTATAAAAACCAGAGACGTTGGATCACGTATTGGTAACCATGGTTGGTTTAGGTTCCCATCCTGGTTATGATGGGAAAAATAACGGGTGCAAATTTTGACTATCATTATCGAAATACATGACTAAAATTTCCAAGAAACACACTAGCATGGGCTATAGAGTCTTGCCCAAGTCTCACGTGTAATTAAGACTTAAGGCTGAAAACAAATGCACTAATGAAACTGCTAGGCAAGTGGCATGCCACTAAGAACTGTAAGTAAATTTTAGAGTGACAGCTGCAAAGAGGTTGGCCTGCAGAAGTTTCCAACCGTGAGCAGTGAAAGCCTTACTGTTTAGTCCAACAAATTCATTGCTATTTACCGATTGCTTTGCCGGTTTTCGGATTTCGTATTTAATGGATTAGTATTTGGTAATAATTACAGTGATTAAAGGGCAATTAACCTTGATAAAGGAAGTTGAGTATTGTGATTGAAAAGACAGAGCTTACTGAGGTCAATTGCTTTTGTTCAGATTCAATGTGTCTCTTCATCAAATCCATTGATTAATGGATTAGTATTTGGTAATAATTACAGTGATTAAAGGGCAATTAACCTTGATAAAGGAAATTGATTATTGTGATTGAAAAGACGGAGCTTAATAAGTTCAATTGCTTTTGTTCAGATTCAATGTGTCTCTTCATCAAATCCATCGATTTATTAATATGGTCCTTGATCTTTATGAAATTACATAATGCCATCCAGTCTATGTACCCAATTGTAACATTAGTTTTCTTCTTGGTCATAATTGATAAATATTTTAGATTTTTTTGGCATAAACATGGAAATTAAATAAGACTCTAATCTAAGGTTTATATCCAAATTTCTTCATTTTTACCCCTAAGAACTATGTTCAAGTGGCGCAAAACATTCTTTTTTTGTTTATATAATTGAATTTACTTTAATTTTCCAAAGGAGTGAAAGATTAAATGTTTTAGTGGCAAGTAATGTTTTATCATACATGAATAGAAAATGAAGGTAGTTGGGAGAAGAGAGAAATGGAAAAACCTATCATTTATTTGTAAATTATTTTACTATTTTGAATGAGATAATTAATGGTTCTAATTTAGCATTTAAATGAAGTACAAAATTAATTATAAACCATTAAAAATAAATGAGTCATTATTTTAATATTATTTACTTTTAAAAAAATACTGATAAGATATTTATTTTAGAAAATAAAAGATTGACTCAACGGTTAAAGTTCATTTAATCTTTGACATTAATTACTTCCTTATTGTGATGATCTTTCAATGACCGTAAGTTGAAATATACAATCATTGAAGTACCATACTTCCAGTCCGAACTTGGAGAACGAAGCTATTTATCTTAAATTGTTAACTCGAATATTATTTCTTAAGAAATCACCTTTTAAGATTATTATAACATCTAAAAACCAAAAAAGAAAGAAAGAAGGTGTGATTAATTTAAGTTTCGTTAGATAATTGAAAATATACTTTCTGAAAGAAGAGTTTTTCTATAAAAGACATTTTCTTTGAAAATGTAATATTTTCTATTGCTCATATGATATTAAGAAAAATATAGTCTAGTGTTTGGATTATCTTGAAAAGCAAGATAGATGGAGAAAGAGAGAAATGGAAGCCTTAATGTTTTTTTTTAACTCATATTTATTTTTTAATTATTTTATTAATTTTAATGTAAGAGCCTATTTGGTTTGATTTTTTTTTAATTTAAAAGTTATTATGAAGTTCTTATGAAAAATATAACTTTTAAAATTAAGCTACAACTATTTGATAAATTTATTTTTATAATTTTTTAGTAAAACAACTTATATAAATTTTAATTTTGATTAAAATTATTGTAAAAGGTATTGTTGGGACTATATTTAATAAAAGATTACATTTTTTGAACAAAAATACAAATTTTCTCAAAAAACTAAGGTGTTTTTAAAACAAAAGAAGAGAAAAATTATTTCCGAAGCTTTTTTTGAATTTTTTTTTTTAGATTTTGTTCTTGAAAAAAACTACTTTTATTTCTTCTAAAGTTTTTCAAAATTTTGTTTGACCTAATTTTTACTTTTAAAATATAAGTTGAAAGAAAAGTTAAGTCAAATAAGCACTAAATTAATTAATGATTCAAATTGTTTTTTTTTTAAGTTTAATTAATGGTTCTAATTTAACATTATAAAATTACTCATAAACCCTTACAAACAAAGGGGTCGACATTTTAATATTATGAATTATGAATATCAATAAGGGATCTATTTAGGAAATAAAAGATTCTCTCGAACGGTTAAAGTTCGTTCAATCTTTGATATTAATTAGTTACCTACCATCCTGATTTTTCAAAAGCACTAATCTACATACACAATCACTAAAGTACGATATATCTAGTCCGAATATGGAATATCGAACTACTCATCTTAAAATTTTTACTCCAAAGTTATTTCTCAATAAATCTTCTTTTAAGATTAGTTTAAAACCCAAAAGCAATCACAAAAGAAAACGCAATTGAGGAATTGGCTTCTTAAAAGAAGAGCTTTAATATAAAAATTGTTTAAAAAATTAATATTTTTTATTATTTGAATAATATTGAAAAATATATTTTTTATTGTTTAGATCATCCTATGAAAAGAAAAGTGGATGGAGAAAGAAAGAAATGAAAAACCTATTAATTATTTATAAAGTCATATTTCTTTTGAAATTATTTTTAAATTAACTAATTAATGGTTCTAATTTAGCATTATAAATTTACTTACAACCCTTTTAAAAAATAGTCAACATTTCAATGTTATTTATTTGCAAAAAACAAAACCAAAAATTAAAAGATTGACCCAACGGTTAAAGTTGGTTCAATCTTTGATATTAATTAGTTACTTAACGTCATGATCTTTTAATGACACTAATCTAAAATCCTCAATCTTTGAAGTACGATACATTTAGTTCGAGTTTGGCATACTAAGCTACTTATTTTAAACTTTTTACTCCAAAATTATTTCCTAAGAAATCATCTTTTAAGATTATTATAAAACTCGAAAACAAGAAGAAAAGAGGGTGTGATTTAGGCTCCATTTGATAATTGAAAATTAATTTTTTGAAAAAAAAAGAGTTTTTCTATAGAAGACATTTTTCTTTTAAAATTTAATATTTTTTATTGTTTGGATGATGCTGAAAAAAATACTTTCTGTTGTGTAAATTATCTTGTAAAAAAGAAGGTAGATGAGAAAAGGGAGAAATGAAAAAACTATTATTTCTTTATAAATCATATTTCTTTTTAATTATTTTTACTATTTTAAATGAATTAATTAATGGTTTGGCGTTTGAAAGAAATATAACATTACTTATAAGGCCTTAAAAAACAAATGAATCAACATTTTAATATTACGTATTTTTTAAAAAAAATAAAAAATTGACTAATTAATTAAAATTCGTTTAATATGTGATATTCATTAATTATTTTTCATCGTGATCTTTCAATGATATTAATATACGAATACGCAATCCTTAAAGGACGATCCATCTAGTCCAAATGTGGAAGACTAACCTACATATTTGAAATACTTTATCTCGAAATTATTTCCCAAAAAATCACTTTTTAAAATTATTTTAAAACCCAAAAACAAGAAAAATAGAAAATATGATTTAGACTTGTTTGGATAATTGAAAATTAGTTGCTATTTGCTTCTTAATTTTTTTTCGTAATTAAGAAGATATGGTGAAGAAACACCAATCAACGCTTCCCGCAATGCCACCTTTGCCCTATGTCGAAAGACTTTAGAAAGAAGGAAAGAGTTAGAAGATAGATAGAGAGTGAAAGAAAATGTGAAAATTGAGAAAAAAAAATCTATATTATGATGGTATTTTTTAAATTTATTTAAAAGTAATTTTATTGAATAAAATTTTTGATCTATTTCTTATTTTTAGAATAGCTATCACTGGGATGCCTTGTTAATGTTTGTTTAGGCTTTTTCGAAACCTGACAATTATTGTGAAGCAAACATGTTATTAGAGAGGGATTAGGAATATAGGGAAGGACTATTTCGGTCACCGGCCTAGCATGTTGAAAGTGAAATTGTTAGGCTAGTTTTGGATTATGAATTGGGTAAAATTCCCTGATGAAGAAGGTAAGAGAACAGTGTATTTGACCCTAAAACAAAATTTTAGTACAGAAGCAATGAAAGTTATGAAAAGGTAACAAAAATTATTTGGAGAGCTATTAGGACTCGGATTCTGTCATCAAGAAAGATTCTCCCACGACTTTGGACAGTATAAATACCGGATCCCTCCCACTCACCCCCACATTCAACTCATCACTCCAGAATCCTCCCTTCTTCTCTTTCACTGACAAACTCTCTTTCTCTCTCTGCCCCTCGAGAATGGCGCTTCGGAAAAAGCTAGCGGAGCGTCTGTTGAGAGGTTACAGGATTCCCTCACCGTTGGTCAGTTCAGAAAACTCTTCGATGGTCTCACTGCAGAACGCCCCCCGACGGGATTACGTCTCCTCGCCCGAACCCGTCTTGCGAGGATTCTTCCGACGTTTCATCCACCGGAGAAGTCCCGGCCAGATGGCTCCGATGTATTCGGAGTTTTTCTCGGTGCCAGTCGGGGAGAAACTGGGACAGATGTTGTCAGGCATTGACATTACCGAAGATCGCCTTTGGTTGGGAGGGCTTACTCCACCTCCCCAGATGGATGCTGCGGCCGGCGAATCGTTGGCTAAGATTTCGGTTGAGGATGCCAGGAAGCTACTGAGGGCTTCTCAGGTCGAGCAGCTTAAAGCGAAGCTGAGGGAGATTCCCAAGAGTTCGATATCTTATAATGAGTTTGTTCAAGTCTGCCTTGACGGATGCGGAAATCAAGCTCAAGCTTTGGAGTTCGCCAAGACGCTGGATGAGTCTGGCAACGTCATCGTTTTGGGTGACGTCGTTTTCCTCCGCCCCGAGCAGGTATAAAATTTCACACCGGCACTCTGTTTTCTTTCTTTCTTTTTTAATATGTCGTTATGTCTAAAAGCTGATTGGAAAAGTGCGATACACGCGCTGCTAGAAAACGTGGTCACCATGTTCGACCTGCAAGTTGCGATGTGGGTCTGGTTCAGCCGAAATGGTCAACGGCGGCGGACCTTGTCATAATAGTAGACTGAACTGAGTCTAAACCGAGAAAGGCTTTATCCTTGCTCTGTTTTGGATGCATAACATGAAATTGATTAGATGCATGAATAATTAAAACATTATGGGTGTTGGAATATCCACTGATTTTCGTTCTCGCAGGTGGCTAAATCAATGGAGACCTTAATTTCACAGTCGGTGGCCCTCCCAAACGACCCAAGAAGAAGAGAGCTGGACGAAATGGAGAAACAAAAGGCTCAAATAGACAAAAAGGCTAAGACTTTGGTTCGCCGTGAGCTTTTTGGTGGGCTGGGGTTCCTATTGGCGCAGACGCTTGGGTTCATGAGGCTGACGTTTTGGGAACTGAGTTGGGATGTCATGGAGCCCATATGCTTCTTTGTCACCTCCCTTCACTGCGTCATGGCCTATGGTTTTTTCCTCAGGACTTCGACGGAACCTTCCTTCGAAGGCTTCTTTCAACGCCGTTTCAAAGCTAAACAGAAGAAACTCATGAAGGTCCACAACTTTGACATTGAAAAGTACAATCAACTCCGCCAGGCATTTTATCCCAATTCCTCCCCCTATGGCTTGCCCAACTTGGAGCGTAACTCAACCTTGAAACATAAAGAGGAGGCAATTATCTAAGGCCCGTGCAAAGGAAACTAGTAGAGTTTTTTTTATAGTAATGAGTAGAAAACGGATGAAATTTGTTTATTTTTGAAATAGAATTTTCATTTGAAGTATCGATTTTCCAAACTTATTAGTCTCAACTAGTTGTAGGATTAAGTAAACCCAAATGTTATGGGATGCAAGAAGCAAGATCTACATCCATGGTTGTACTTTAAGTTTTTCAGGTGTATAGTAAATAGTCGTGTGGGGATTAAAGGGCTCAAACAATGCATTTAAAATGAATTGAAGCCTAAGTTGTGTATATAGACATGAACTCACTAGGCTTTGTTTTGAGGTCCATGTGTATGTAATTTTAAGATCTTAAGTCCAATCCTCGGGTTAGGTCTTTGTTACAAGATACTGTAAAGTTGTCCAAGAATTCTCGTTTTCCATAGACAAATGGGTACTTTTGTGTCGAGCTCACACTCCTGGTCCTTGGTAGCCATGGCCCATGTGCCATGTATGATGCAACTTACAGGCTTAAAGAGAAATGGGCTTCAAGTAGACTGAAGAGTGAAGGGCTTTATGCAAACAAATCGTGCTAGGCTGATGGGCACTTAGCCCATTGTTTTCTCAATGGGAAGGCAATCAACAATCTAAATCTACACTCTATTTGGATTTGACAGTGCACAAAAGTTTACATGTTACTTTCACATCGGATTACCAGTGCTGCCTGTCTACCCCATCTCACCTAAGGAAACATCATCCCGTTCTGCAAGCTTAACAAATTTTTCAAATGCGGAAGCAGGGTGGATTCCAGATCTCTGCCAGTGCTTGTTTTGGAAGAAACAATGCAAGACACCTCACACTCTCACAGGCCACAGCTCACTTTATTTCTCCGAGAAAAAGATGTCTTAACCCTTCCTCTTGGGCCATTCCCATCGAGTATAGAAGAAGAATCATTAGAGCATGGTGCCCACTCCCCACTCAACAATCTGTTTCCAAAAGCCATAAAACATACACACATGAACATGATATTATCCACAACAAACCATGACCCACAGGATTAAGATATTTACTTCTCATTCCCCTCCTCAATCCTCATCCCAGACGCTTGGTTCATTGATTTTTTGCTGTGATCAAACAGAAGCGGTTCTTCTTTATCACTTTTAACATAATATAATTCAACCCTTTTGATTACAAACAACAAAGAATAGTATAATGCACCCTAATTTCATGATCTTCGTTTAGATATTCTGCCTTTCTACCACCATAGCACATAAGTCGAGCTTAAGTGGAAATTTTGTTATTAGAACTTTTGGGGAGCAAATCTAATATCCAGCCACGGCCTTTGTACGTATGCAAAGGCAACAGTCCAAAAGCAAATGTTAATTCAACTAATCAGCCCAACAACTTTGCTAAATCTAGTAATCTTTGGCAGTGGGATGAGACCAAGCAACAAATTCATTTTCTCCATTTCTGTGTGTTTCCAGTCATTTTCTCTCTCAAGTGGGTCCTCTTGGGTCATAGCCCATGTCCTAATCCCTTCCAGTTACTGGTATCCAACCATTCCACAACTTTTTCTTTTTCAAACTTGAACAGTTATAGAACAAAATTAATTTATTAATCTCACTTGATTTTGCAAGCAATGTGTCTTTGAGTTTTTGGACTTGTTTATGTAGGGCCTACAAAATGATGAAACTGATAAAAGGTCCTAATCCAGACTTTTGTGAATTAAAGCTCTGCTAATTATTATTTCTATCGGCATATTACCCTTTGGAGAAGAATCTCTTGACTTTCCCTCTCCAGCATCAAGGTGATGAGAATTTAATTAAATCTTCACAAACATACTCCAATACATCAGTATTAAACAAAAGGTAGCCACTCTGATTTTCCTTCCATTTCATTATATTCTGAATTACTGCTGTAAGCCCAGTTTTCTCAATTGACAATTGAGAACATTGGATGATTGAACAATTGTTTAGATTCATGCAGTCTAATGGCTGCTAGGTGGCTTTCATTATCTCTTATCATGTGAGAGCTTTCACTGTATAATCTCTTTTATTTTTTTGTTTTTTTATTGCTGGAGCTGGAATCCAACTTGTCTATGGCTTTAAATAGCAAAAAACCTATATTTATAATAGCACAAGTTGTAAGGAGCTCTTAGTCTGATAATGTCGGCAGAGAGGTAGCTAATCTTTAATGCTGTTTTTATCTCCTTGTTTTGTAAAGAAAGGGCCCCCTCCAAGCTCCAATCCGGGCTGGGGTGGGTGAAAACATTCTCCCATCCCCAGTAAATAAATAAAATCTCTGACTGCTCGTGAGGATTTGAATTACCTTTCTCTTAATGAATTTCTTGGAGATGCAACAGCCATTTTACCAGTCCAGTGGACAAAAGACAGCATTGAATTCCTAGTTTGAAGGGTTTAACGAGGACTCTTTCAAAAAGCTGAAATTGTTTGGTCTAGTGACACCTTCAATCAGCAAGGTGCATGAGAATTTCCCTTGAAATATTTTGTAAGTACTGGATTGGCTTTATTTGGTAAAGTATGAACACACAAACAAATATCTATAATATTCTTAATACTTTCTTTGAAAAGAATAGAAATCCCAAGTTTTCCAAGTTGTTATAATGTTTAATTTACTACGGCAGTCAGTCCTGACTAGTTCTTACTTTCCTTCACCAGAAACCATTTTGTTCAGCAGATTAGAACAACGAAGGTCATACAAATACAAGTTCTTGTTCCTGGATTGGATGGAAAAATGGACTAAACCCTACCAAAAACAGAGCAAAATGAACTCACATATGCAGTTGGAGGGAAAGAAAAGGGGTAAAAGGCGAAATATCAGAAGGAAAGAGTACACATCCTGGTGAAAAAGAATACTACTACTAGTAGTGGTACATATATTTTTTTTGGCCGGATGTCTTACAGCTGCATCCATCAAAGCCACTCCTCGTAGGTGGGCAAGAAGGAAAAAGGTGCTGGCAGTTACTGGGATACTGGCTACACGAGGATTAGATGCTAGAAGGAGCATGGACCAATACAAAACATGATAGCAGCCACCCAAAGGAGATTGGGGTTTTGTAGTGACTTGGGTTTCTTGGTATAGTTTGGCTGATGGAGATTGTGACATGCTTTTCTCATTTTTGGACAAAATTGCAAGCAAATTCGAAACCTTTATCACTGTTCACTACCTCACTCTGTGCTTTATCTGCACTGTTTTTTTATATTTGTTTCTGGATTTTCTGTTTGGCTTCAGCTGTCCCAGTTGAGTTGAGTGCACACCCCATCAATTTGGTTGTTTGTTTCCCTATGGTTCAATCCAAAATAAACCTGAAACCACCATACTTTTGAAAGCAGCAAGACTATATGCAAATTCCCTAACTCATTTGGTAATTTGGGTTGTCAAAATCTGCAAGGAAATGATACTAAAATGGAAAGGGCAACTGAGAAATTCAGCTCACGAGTCACTTCCATTGGGGGTCACGAATTTGGGACCCCCGTCCATGTGGCTAAAACTAGAATTGACAGTATCGAGGTCAGGGCTAGCCCCACTTGTTTCCCTATAAGCTTACTAGTCAAGGAAAAGAAACGTGGTGGTGCTTCTGCTGCTGGTCCATAATGCAAAGAGTTCCCAAGGTCTAAAACCACTTGCTATAGCTAGCAAGCAGGCATATAAATTATGTTGAGGTTTCATAAAAATTTATAATCTTCTTTTGGGTTTGGTCCGAACAAGGAATTAATTAGGTGCACCACAAGATTCAACTTCAGCTGGATGGCCCAATCTTCCTTTTCAATAATTTTGATGCAGCTTTTGCTTTTTAGTTTGGCATGTAGCAACAACAAACCAATGGCTGTGGTAGCCTCTCCATAATTCATCCACCACTATCTATTCAGGCTGATTATGCAAAGGAAAGTCAGAGATCGGCCCAATTATGCAGCCATCGCAGTTGGCTTTGCGTTGCTTGTGTAATTATGAGAGAACTTGTCCAGCTACCTGGCAATACACAGGCAATCCTGGTTGGTGGTAGGCAACCTAATATTATTTAAAAAATGGGCAAGAGAGGATGTCAAACCCAACTGTTGAGATTCAAAGCTAAAAGTACCAGAAAAGCTTTATCGAGGGAGAGTGGCTTTAATTATCATGCAAATGGCTTAAATGAGGGAACTTTTCTCGCATGATGAACCTTTTTTCTCCAATCCACCAGCATTATATAATAATCTAAGAATGGCCTCAAACATTTCAAAGCAAATGACAAAACAGAAGTGCTGCCCTTCCAGTGTATGCTAAAGGGCAAGATGAAACTTTTGAAATTGAAATTCAAAGATATGAAAAGATTGGAAAAAGGGGACTCTATTGCCCTGAGATGAAGATCATACTTGATTAATTTCTTCAAGTTGAGCACAAGAAATAGTCTCATGTTCAATGCTTTGGTGCCTGATTGCCAAGGATTATGACAACTGATCAAACTCTGATGCAAACTAGGAGGTGGGATTACATGCAAATTGCAAGAGATCAATGATAGAATATAGAGAAAGGGCCAAGTCATTTACCTAATACCCAGAAAATTATTTGTTAAAAAGAAGCCTTGTCCATATCCTAAGATGCTCAACATTTTAACTTTCAACCAAACCTATGGTCCCTATCTGTTTGATATTCATTGTGTTCCATATCCTTATCCCCCAAAAGAAAGGAAGAAATGGGTATATTCCCATCTTCTTCTAAAGCTGAATAGAGAGCTTTTTGTCATCTGCAAAGAGACTTCCCCAGTGACATGCGTTCCCTGGTTGGAAGCTGCCTCTGAAGTTTCCATGCCCTTCACATGTTCCTTTGACAAACAGTACAAACTTTCACCAGTAAAAGCTTTACCAGAAACCCAACGACGTCTTCCTATGAGGTTGTTACTCAATCCTTTTAACATAAAGTTTCATTAATCATTTGTACAGACGGTCCAACTAGGGTTCTTATTTTAATACGAGAATGGAAATAAACAATTAAGGTTATTCTTTGAAGTTGCAATACCGTTGTCGTTAGGTTAATCACCACGGAAACAAATCTTTGAAAAAGCTTTTGATTATTATACTGGTCGAGCAGATGAGCTGTGTTCTAACTAATGTTGGTCAGCAAACACATTTGAAGACAATGATAGATCTGTTTTTTTCCCATTAGTCTAGTAATAAACTCAAACTCAAGCTCGGACAATTGGTTAAGGAAACACCCAAATCTGACCTCTTCCCCCACTCCCTCCCTCTTTAGTCTCTTGCTTGTTGGGATTCCTTTGTTTTCGCGTCGCCTTTCTACTCACAAACAGGAATCCTTTCTACCCCAACATTGTAGCTCACGTAATGCCCATACCCCAAACATTTTGCATTGCCATTGCTTCATGCCTAATCAGCCTTTTGCTTGTCCCATCCCTTTCACAATCATTATGTACCAAAACTATTTCTCTTTGTTCACGTTATACCAAATCCTCCATGAATTACAAACAAATTAACCCCACTTCCTCATAGCTTTGAGGAGCAAATTTGATGAGGGAAGCCCACCTTTTCGAATAAAATTACCATAACAACCCCCAATATTCTTTTTTCCGACGTTAAGTATGCGTCCGGGAGGGATAAAATTATTATTAAATAACCTAATCCGCAACTTAAAAAATCGTTCACGTGGATTAACTTGGTAGGTCGATAAAAGGCAAAGCCTGCACACTCCTACCCACTTAATAAATCTTGGAAATTGATTCTTAATATAAAGATAGACTGATCTTCTGTTGATATGGTTTTATAAGATGTGGTACGTACTTCTAATTTTTATTATACAAAAATTAATTTAAGATTATATATTTGCCACGTATTATCTGTTCATTTAATTATCAGAATTATCCCAATCGTGGGACCGAGTGCCTTAAGGAAAACTGACACCATTGCCGTTTGAAAAAACGTGGGACCGGTGGCTTTAATATTTGATGGGAGCACCGAAGTTAATAATGTTTGAATTTAATTTTATCATACAATAGAAGCTATCTAAAATCTATTCAAAGTTTTGAGCCGTACGGCATGAAATTATCTGATTTAATTATGGATTTGACTGACTTTGTCTAATACTAAGCACTCAAATGTTAATCAAGCATTTGGGTGGTTTTGAAGTAGTAGTTTAATTTTTTTATTGAAATATTAAAAAACATTATTTTAAAATTTTAAGTAAATTTTTATTTTTTAATTTTAATATTTTTATTTTAAATTAAATAAATATTTATGATAATTATAATTAAAATATTATTTATTATTTTATATTCATGTATTGATATAAATAGTAAAAATATTATATAATTGTATCATTATATTATATTAATATGTTAATATGTTTTAATAGTATATATAATATAAAATAATAAATAATATTTTAATTAATTAATAATTATTTAATTTAAAATTTTTTTATGAGCAAAAGATTATAAAAAAGTCGTTGAATGTGGAAACTAGCAATACTGTCTGGAAGGCTCGTGGGTTGAGTCCTAATATTTAATGAACTCATCCAGCTCGTATGATTTTGTGCCTGGCACTCGTTTTCATGCTGCTATTGAAGAGGCAAAGAAAAATTTCAAACGGGTATGGTTTGCCTTCTTGGCAAGAAATGTGGAGAATTCAAACAGTGAAATGTCAACCCATTCTAGACCCTCTTCCAATGTATAAATATATACGTATATTTATACATATATATGTATTAGCTTCATTTTCGAGTTTGAAATTTATTTTTTTAATTTGTTCAAACTTATTATTCTAGTAAATGAAGAAAAAAAATTGATATGTGTCACATGTGAGAAAAGTTAGATAAATTAAGAAATGAATCATTATCACTATCTTTATGGTAAAGTTTACATTAAATCAACATTCAATTTGCATATACTTCAAAATTCATTGTGAAATTTATATGATATTTAATTCATATCACTATTATGTCAATATTTAGTGAAATTGCTTTAATCGTGACTTTTTTTCCCCTTCTAAGGCATTATTCACATCATGCTATATACTTATTATATAATACACCAATGGCCATGATTGACAATTTAACCTAATTTATGTTCTATATGTATTATTTTCTTTGAAATTATTTTTATCAAATTCAAGATAAATAATTCATTGATTACAACGTTAATAAATATTTATATATATATTTAATCATAGTAACATTATTATATGTCTCAATCAATGGGTAGTGGCTTTCAAATTGGCTATAAAAAAATGGATCACATTACAGATAAAATGGGTTTTTATTTTTATTGCTGAAAAACCGGCTTTTGTTGGCAATTAAATTTGAGAATGACGCTGATAACTAAATATTGGGCCAGCCAAATATTTTTACAAAGGTAGGAGATTTTAGATTACAAAATTTCTTAGATTTATCTTGTCTTGTATTAATTCACAAGACAATACTATATAAAGATAAATAAATGAAATATGGAAAAGGGTATTTTCAAAATTTTTTTGTCAATGATAATATTAAAATTTTTTTGAAAAATTATCTGAAAACTTTATACTTATTTTGAATGAATTATCCACTCAAAAAATAATTAATTTTTATTAGATAACTGAAATTTTTACCCTAGTAGTATATTAAAATATTAGTTTCAGGTTTGAGTGAATTAATTGTTATATTCACCTCATTTCGGATATAAATGTAATTATAAAAGTTGATTTAAAAATTTAATTAAAAAAGGTTTTTTTTCCTATTGATGTAATTTACCCAAACATGAGGGGCAATTATCATAGCTAGCTGATATTGATTTAATTTCATATTACTAACTTTTTTAAAAAATTTATTTTAATATTGGAAAAAAATAAAAAATTATCGTGTCTACCCACCCCACCAATCTATTGGATCTTCTATCATCTCCCCCCTTTTTTCTTCCCTGTTTCTTTACTGTCACTGTTTCTTCATCTCTCTGCACACCAAAAAAAAAAAAAAAAGAGAAAAAGAAAAGAAAAGAAAAAGAAACCCAGAAACAGTGAAGAGAAATAGTTTAGAAATCGTGTCTTTTTAGCAGTGTTAATTCACTGCTGGAGAACAAACCCCATTTTCTATTTTGAAAACCAAGCTGAAATTTGTATACCCCAGAGATTCAGGCGCCTTTTCTCTTTTCTGTTTGCTTGGGCTTCTTCAAATCGAAAGAAGCTCTGCAAATTTTTGATCTTTTTGGAGTATTTTTTTGGGGGGTTGCATTTTGGAATTGAAATGTGGAGCGAAGAGCTGTTTGTCTGGGTTCTAAAGACGACTGGAGAATCGAGGGAGATTTGATGGAATTAGAAGACTTAATGCTTTACTTTTTGGACATTTCATGGAGGTTATAATCCGGTTTGGTTCAAGCACTGTAATCAGATTTGATTTTAAGCTTCGATTTGCCGCCGTTATATTCGAGGTAAGCTTCGATCTCACTGTAAATGTTTTATTCCCCTCCCCAGAAAAAGCCCCAAACTCTTTGAATATTAAAAGGCCAGGAAGATTTATTGGTTTCAATTTTTGAAATAAAAAATGGAGCAGAACTCTTGGGTTTACTGAGGAAATTAGTTGTAAAAAAGGACAGAGATTTCAAAATTTGCTGTTTAATACTTTTAATTTTTTCTTCGTATAAAGGTGGGTTTCATTTGAGTATGCATAATTTTTTTTATTTTACTTCATATTTACTTCCCTTTACTATAACCATTTTTTTGGGTCGGGGTTCTTTCCTTTTGGAAAGCTGTTCACTAAGGGTTTATTTGTTGGATAAAACTGTAAACTTTTAGTTTGATTAACTATTTAATTTTGAATTTTAAGCTGGGATTTATATACCTACAGCTTTAGCCGTTCCCCCAATTTTAGTACTTTGAATTATTTGAAATTGAAATTTAATGGGGTCAACGCCACATCAGGTAGCTGAAGTTGAGCTCATGATTTGCAAAAATTTGATCTTTGTGCTGAAATTAGCCACTCTTAGCTTGGTTTTCTTAGATCCACTGTTGCATGGATTTTTTTCTTGGCTTTTTGCTTGTAATTTCTGATTTTGGGGTTTCTTGTTAGTGTGCATTCCTTGGAAACTCAAGATTTTCTGGTGTCTACTGCAGATTTTATTGATATTGTTATGGTTTGAAGCTTCTGCTGCAAAATTTCGGGAGCATCATCTGCAATGGAGAGGCCTAGAAAGAGGAAGTAGTGAAAACATTGTCTCACATTCATGTATTCATGACCAGATAATTGAGCAGAGGAGACGTCCAGGTCGGAAGGTTTACTCAGTTACCCCACAGGTTTATGAGCACTCTGGTATCTCAAATCATGTTCATCACAAAGGAAGGTCCTTGCTTGGGACTCCTGAATTGCTTGGGCATCCAAAGGATGCTAAACAACCTATAAGAATATATTTAAATTATGATGCCGTTGGCCACTCACAGGATAGAGATTGTCGAAAAGTTGGTGAAATTGTGAAGGTGAGTGCAATTGTTTCCTTGGTAAAGTCTGTATCTTTTCAGGTCTGGTCACTGATTGTAAAACTAATGTTGGGTGCTTGTTGTTTGCTTTCTATGTTTTGCCGTTGTTTTGGCTTTAATTTCACCAGCTCGGGGAGCCTCCTGTGAGTTCTCCTTCTGGCACACCCTCCTGCAATCCTCATGGTGATCCTCCAATTTATGGTGATTGTTGGTATAATTGCACTTTGGATGATATATCTGGGGAGGACAAGCGCCGTCGTCTTCGCAAGGTTTCACTTTATACATTCTACAAATAAAATGCTTTCCTCTGAGTTATGATTAAGCCAATGCTAACTTTTGAAAGAAATTTAATGAAGGCTCTAGGGCAGACAGCTGACTGGTTTAAGAGAGCCCTGGCTGTGGAGCCTGTGAAAGGGAATTTGAGATTGAGTGGATATTCTGCATGTGGACAAGATGGAGGTGTACAGCTTCCTCGTGAATATGTTGAAGGTATCTCATTGCGGCTCCATTACTTTGTTCAGATTCCATTTTCATCTTGATTGGGCGTCTAAGAATACTTTCCTGTTAGGTTCATTCTTATTTAACCGTTCTCTTTATCTAATTTTTCTCACAGAGGGCGTTGCTGATGCGGACTTGGTCCTTCTTGTGACCACAAGACCTACCACTGGCAACACTTTGGCATGGGCAGTAGCATGTGAACGTGATCAATGGGGTCGTGCAATTGCTGGTAATTTCTTGTTGGCCCCTCTCTTAAGTGTGTATGTTGCTGTTGTGTGGAGTAGAAATCTGAAATCAGAACCAATGGTGTACTCCTATTTTGTAGGGCATGTGAATGTCGCTCCTCGACATTTAACAGCTGAAGCAGAGACTTTACTTTCAGCTACTCTTATCCATGAGGTTTGTTGATGTTAATTTGATGGATTTGGAAGAGTATAGAAGGAAATTTCATGTGCTAAATGCCATTTTTGTTTTTATCCAGGTTATGCATGTTCTTGGCTTCGATCCGCATGCTTTTGCCCACTTTAGGGACGAGAGGAAAAGGAGACGTAATCAGGTAATTGCATGGCATTTACTATAAATATGCCCTTGAGACACGTCAAAGCAATTTGCATAATAAACTATGGATTGTGAAGTCAAAGCTGAAACCCTAATGACTTGTGCCTTTGAAATTGGAGTTTAGTTGAACTTTTAGTACTTTGTATTTGTAGGATTGCTTGTGAGACTAAGTTTCTTATGTCTTGTAATTACCAATACAAAAAGCATACATCGCGTATTAGTGATCTTTGTATTTCACTGGACACAGCTTAAGAACCTCATTATAGCATGGTTGTCCCTGTTTGCAGGTTACTGAACAGATCATGGATGACAAGCTTGGGAGGATGGTAACTCGTGTGGTGCTTCCACGTGTTGTCATGCACTCACGACATCATTATGGGGTATTGTTACCTTTTTCGTTGTGCTGGAGTTTTGTGGCTTTAGATTATTGAAAACACAATGGGAGATCAAACATATGGTTGATGATAGTTTCCTGACAGGCATTTTCAGAAAATTTTACTGGCTTAGAGCTAGAAGATGGGGGAGGACGTGGCACATCAGGTTTTCAATTCTGTTTTTGTTTTTTGTGTCTTTTTCCTTTCTATTGATGCATTGGTTGCAGATTTTCAACTCAAGGATACTCTCCCAAAATTAGCATACAATACACAAATATGACTTATAATGGAAGATGGTCATTAATGTTTGAGTGATGGCTTCGCTGCAGGATCTCATTGGGAAAAAAGGCTTTTGATGAATGAGATAATGACGGGATCTGTGGATACTAGATCAGTAGTTTCAAAAATGACTCTGGCTTTGTTGGAGGATAGTGGATGGTATCAAGCTAACTATAGCATGGCAGATCGTCTTGATTGGGGTCACAACCAAGGAACTGATTTTGTTACTTCTCCTTGCAATCTCTGGAAGGGGGCGTATCATTGCAACTCAACCAATTTGTCTGGTTGTACATATAACAGGGAAGCAGAGGGTTACTGCCCTATTGTAAGTTATAGTGGGGACTTACCTCAGTGGGCTCGGTATTTTTCTCAGGCTAACAAAGGTATACCCTTCTTGGGTTTTTTATGTGTCTACTTCATGTTTTTGAGGGCCTTTTATTTATGTTTCTGACCTATAGACTACTAATTCCTTATTTCTGCATACTAAAAGTTAAGTGTATTAGCTTATGAATTATGAATTTTTGAGTCATAAATAAAGCAAAATTATTTTCAGTTTCGGTCTACATCCACATGTTCGTCCTAATGTGATGCTTGTACTCTGCATGCAACCTCAGTATGGTAGTTAATGAACTGATTTCAAGATATTGGCATATAATGCAATCAGTGTTACACTTATCATTTATCAACATTGTTGAATTTTTAGTTTGCTCTCCTTGTGAGGTATATGAACTTCTGTTATTAACCATTGCAGGTGGTCAGTCCTCATTAGCTGATTATTGCACATACTTTGTGGCTTACTCTGATGGATCCTGTACAGACACTAATAGTGCAAGGGCTCCAGACAGGATGTTAGGTGAAGTGAGAGGGAGTAACTCCAGGTGAGTTCTGACCTTAAACACCTTTACTGGGGCATAGTTTAAAATTTTCCTTTGACCCTAGACACACTTTGAACTTTTGAGGCAATGGCTGATAAATTTTATTTTGTGATTGCATAGGTGCATGGCTTCATCCTTAGTACGTACTGGTTTTGTGCGGGGTTCTATGACCCAAGGAAATGGTTGTTATCAACACAGATGTGTAAATAACTCATTAGAGGTATGGATTGGTGTTTGTAAGGCCAAATATTTTGCTTGGTAATTTTTGAGCAAAAGCGGCCTTGCAGCTTGAGCTGTGATCTATGCTGTGTGGGCTGTGATCTTAGTTTTTTCAAAATACAGTTACTCTGTCCAATACTGATTTACTGCAATTTCCATACTGCAAGAAATCTGTTTTCATCATGGCCTGGCTGACTGAAATATTCCTCTTGTTTATAACAGTAAAAGTAAAGCCAGAAAAGAATCATCTTGCACTTTGAACTTTAAGCTCTTTCCTCACTGCAATTTGTCATTAATTTTGTTAATAATTGTTCTTTTTAGGTTGCTGTGGATGGTATTTGGAAAGTGTGTCCCGAAGCTGGTGGACCAGTTCAGTTCCCTGGCTTTAATGGTAATATCGATCTACTGACTTTTCAGTAAAAAGGATCTATTTATATGCATTAATGATTTGTTTTGATGTTTTATCTGCAGGTGAACTAATTTGTCCTGCTTACCAAGAACTCTGTAGCACTAGCCCTGTTCCTGTGTCTGGGCAATGTGCCAATTCTTGTAATTTTAATGGTGACTGTGTCAATGGGAAGTGTCATTGCTTTCTTGGATTTCATGGTCATGATTGTAGTAAACGTGAGCTCCCGAATCTTTCCTTATTCATTCTTTAGCTAGTGTACAAAATAAAAATTGGTTCATGCCATATTTTCTGAGCTAATCCTTTTAAGTATACTGATACTTATTTTTCTTTGTCCCTGGGGTTATATAATTTTCAGGATCTTGCCCTAGCAATTGCAGTGGGCATGGCAAGTGCCTGTTAAATGGGGTCTGTGAATGTGAAAATGGTCATACGGGCATTGACTGCTCGACTGGTAATGTGTTTATTTGTTTATTAAACATTTTATTTTCATTATTTTAGTTGGAAAGTATTCTTACAGTTACAGAATAGTTATTGAATGTGACTTTCAGAGTATACACTATACTATCCATTTTAGTGGTAGTTCATGTGGAGAAAAAGGCAAAGGCTTCTATCTTGTCGCATCTTTGCATTGACCCTGTTTAAGTGCCTTTACTTACATAGTTAAGCACACATATGGAAGATATGCTCTTTTTTATTTTATTTTATTTTTTTGAAGAAAACAGAACTTAAGTAATTAGTGTTGTTTCACTATGCTAACCCATTCATCGATACCTCTACGGTTTTTCATTTCCTTATTGAAACCTTTTCATGCTGTATTGTATGTAATTATGCTCATGCATACATCAGGGGATAAATACAGTCAACAAATACCATTTTTTCCCCTCTCTCTTACCATTTTTACTGGATTGATATGCAGCTGTTTGCGATGAACAATGCAGCCTCCATGGTGGTGTCTGTGACAATGGAGTTTGTGAGTTCCGCTGCTCTGACTATGCAGGCTACACATGCCAGAACAGCTCCAGTCTCCTCTCTAGTCTATCAGTTTGCAAAAATGTGTTAGAGAGGGAGTTGTATGGGCAACACTGTGCACCCAGTGAGGCAAGTATATTACAGCAGCTAGAAGAAGTTGTTGTCATGCCCAATTATCACCGTCTATTCCCTGGTGGTGCTCGAAAATTGTTTAATAATCTCTTTGGGAGCAGCTACTGTGATGCAGCTGCCAAGCAACTGGCCTGCTGGGTAAAGTAGCCCATCCTTTCTCGCCTGTTTCCAAGCATTATTTTTTCTCTCCATTCTTGTTTTGATTTTGCTTCTCGACCCTTTCTTTTCCTTAATTGAAGTGGTATAACTTAACTCTAAACGCTGATCTTATATGACCAGATCTCGATCCAAAAATGTGATAATGATGGGGACAACAGGCTACGGGTATGCCATTCAGCATGTCAGTCGTATAATTTAGCATGCGGAGCTTCGCTAGACTGTGCAGACCAAACTCTCTTTAGCAGTGAAGAGGAAGGTGAGGGCCAATGCACAGGCTCTGGCGAGTTGAAGCTTTCGTGGTTTAATCGCTTGCGAAGTAGTTTATTTTCAAGCAATACGTCTTTGAAAGGAACGTCTGTAAAGTATAGGCAGTATTAGCCCCCCACCCTCTCTCCCTCTTTTCTTTTTGTTTTTCCAATCTACCAATCTCCCCCTCCTTTTGTTCTACTAATTTTGGCTTGTAATTTTTCTAGGCTTCGATTGTAGGCAAAGGTGGCACTCATGACTGTGCCTTAGAATGTAGAGTTTCTGTGTTTTAGCCCAAAAGTCAATTAGAAATATTTGGGCAAGGATCATTAGGCTTTCCAAAGATGAAAGCCTCTTGTAGAGAAAGTTGAAAATGTATTGAAAAGCAACCAAAAAGAAACGGAAAACAAAAAAAACAAAAAAGAGTGACCAGATGTTTGGCCGAAGGCCTTGAAAGAAGGAAAAGTCTCATATTTTCTTATTTCTATGCCCTTCTTCCCTCTTCAACAGTAGGCTCTGAAATGGTGCAATGATGCAAGCAATTAAGGTTATAAACTTACTCCCTTTGGTAATGTAGCATGGGACATTTTCATATGCATTGGTACATACATCTAGCCAGTTGCAATGTAGATGTGCTTTTGACGTACAATACAAACAACAGAGTTGTTGTATTTGGTGGACTACGAATCCAGCCGCGGCTGCTGCTATTGACATTGCAACATAAACACTGGTATGGTACCCTTGTTTGATCAATAAGCAAAGATTATATACAGAGAACGAGCTAAATAAGAAGCAACTCCTACTGCCCTACTCAAACAGATGAGAGGTGCCCTTTGCTTTGGAACCAAAGCCCTTCACATTCATTCAATAGTTCAATAGTTCAATAGTTCGAAGTTAGGGACAAAGAAGACATGGGTCTTTGTCTGTTTATGTAAACCCACAGCACTGAAAAGGAGGGACTTCGGACTTATTCAAGTACAAACCCAACCACCCCATTGAAAAAGTTGTAGCTCACGCAAAGCTTATGGGCCTTTTTCTCTTCTTCATCTTTGGTTCTTAAATTTCCTTCTTTCACATTTCTACAACATTTCTTTCTCACCAAACAAGCCAACCGCAATCTTTAAAAACATATAAGAATTTGCTAACTAAAAACACCATACTTAATTCATCTATTTGTAGGCAGATGAAGCAAACAATTTGGTTTCAATATTGCAACTTATAATAGCAATCCAAATCAATAAAATACCCACAATCCCACGCATCAAATTTTCCCAATAAAGTAATGAATACCAAATTAATATGGGTTCAGACATGAATCAAGATCATGTTCATGACTCGGTTGGACAGAATGTGATCAAGTAATCCGAGCCGGAGCAAGTGCGGGTGCTAGAGGCATCATCGTATGCATAGCTATAAGCCGTGGGGCATGCGTTCTTGAACATCTCCGAGTACTGCGTTGGTGAGCAGGTCTGGGGAGTAGCGTGATCGCCGGTGCAACAAAACTCAGGCGAGTTGAACGCAGCGCAGGCGCTTTTACAAGCGACAATGGAACCCGAGTCCATGACCCGCAACTCAGTCGGGCAGTTTGTGTTGAGATCCGTGACGCAGCCCGCATACTGGCAATCCCCTGTGCCACCAACTGCCTTGACTCCTAAGGCAACGTTGTAGCCATCCACGAGGCTAACATCGTAAAAGTCCTTATCACTAGATTCTCCGGCTATGGTGAACTCCACCAAGGTGACGGGTGGCGCACCACCGCCGGTGCACTTCAGCACGCCATCGCAGTCACCGGTTATGCATTTGCCAGAGCCAGAGTTGTCGAATGTGCAGCCTGTTCGACCCCAGAAGCGACCAGACCAACCGGGTGGAGCCTGATATTGGGCTGACGAACCAGGTGGCAATGCGAAACCGCCGTCACCAAGGGCAGCGCTGTTTCCAGAGAGAGAACCGGGCCACACAGTGAAACTGCAATGGTTTTGGAGCGTAAACTGAGTTGCTGAAACAAATATCGTCCCTGAAATCGTCGTTACAAGAAAAAGTTCGAATCAAAAAGCTTAAAGCATTGAACTGAAACAGATTCCAAATACCAAACATTAACCTTTTCACTACATAAACTATCAAAGCAAACAGCTTCATGCACTAGAACAAAAAAAAGGAACAAGGAAAAGACAAATCACTACAATCCCACATAAATATCCATGCTGTCATGCAAAAAAGGACAAAGCATTTACCCAATGAGAGGAGATTGAATAGAAAAAGAACAAGATAAACCCTGGAGAAAATCGCCATTATGGTTTCTGTGAGGAAGAAAATTAAAGGAGGGAGAGGCTTGGAGTGATTGGAGCAGAGGACTCTGATCCCCTGGGGCGAGTTAATATAGCAATTTCCCGTATTTATACCAGGGTCCACTCATATATAAAATTTTCGTCCTATCTTTTCGTGACCAAGATTAGATTTTGGGGTCTCTTGGAGATCATCCAGTAAATTATGAATTTCTTAGATTTTGGTAAGCTCTGTTCTGCTTCGGATTCTCTTTGAGAGCATCGGGCAAATTATCAAAATATTTTTCATTTTTACATGCTGATTAGGGCCCTGTCTTTTCGTGGTCCGTTAAGATGGTTGAATGCTGAATCCCATGTTGGGTTCAGGGTGTCATGGGTGCGTGCAGATCATGCGTGTGAAACTTTTGTATTAACCGTATATTAAATGTAAATTTTTGGATAAAATATCTTATCTTTTAAATTTTGATTGAAATTATTTAAAAATTTATTAATTTTTAAAATAGATATTTTGTTTTAAAAAAATATTTTTTTGTTAGATACATAAGTATAATTTTTAATCAATTATTAACATTTTCGTAAATGACGTGGTGAAGATAAAAAAATAATTTTATTTTTAATTAAGTTTTATAATTACTATTTTCTAATTTCTTTTTATTTATTAAAAAAAAACCTCTCCATTGGGAGCACCGGTGCTCCTTTTTCTTGTAGAGTTGGAAAGCATGGTTCGGGGATCTTTATTTTTTTTAAAAAAATATAATTATAATTTTTAAATTAATAAAAAAAACATTTTAATCTTTTTATTATTTCTGTTTATGATGTTTATACTTTTGAGGTGGACGGTTTATTTTGAAAATTAATAAATTTTCGTTTAATTTCGATTAAAATTTAAAAAAATTAAAATATTTTACTTTAAAATTTTATATTTTATAGTAAATTATAATATTACGTGTAAATTGATTTTATCCCATGTAGTAATAATTGGTATGAGTTTTATATAAATTTGGATTAATTTAATTTTTATAAATTAACCGTTACTAACACTCAATTAAAATATGTTAAGATTTAGAAGGTAGGCAAATTAAGTTCAATACTAAGGGTTATAGTTTCAATTCAAAATTAAAATTTGATCTGCACGTGCAAGAGCAGCATCGAGTCACGTGAGGAAGACAGTTTTTTCCCGCCAGACATAAAAGATGCAGCGAGAAAAACAGGGGATTAAGATGAAGGTACCAAGTGGCTTGTTCATGGCGTCATGGAGGTCATGCTGTCGTGAAGCAACAAGAGATTTGATCCTCCCCCTCCTCCCCACGTGGCAAGCATCAGCACAACCTCCGATCCTCACACGTCCTTAGGCCACTCCACCCACCACCACCACCACCACCATAGCCACGTGCCTGCTTCCAAACTTTCCCCTTTCCCCATAATTAATCAACTCTATTAATTTTTTCCTACGTTTCCTCCCCTTTGAACCAGTGTAATTTTCTATTTACAAGACATTAAACTCGTTTAACTGATGATGAACTGAAATACTTTTGTCCCCATCTTACATTTCACGTGATCAAGAAGGAGAAAAAAGCTTGATTATGTCGTTGCTTCTAGTCATCAAACTCCCGACAAGATTACTATCACTGTTTGATATTCTTCATGTGGAGAACAGCTAGTAAAAGGGATCAACTTACTTCTTGATCATGTCTTTTGCAATGGATTCGATATTTTTTTATTCATCATGATGTCCCATCATTGATATTATACATATTTCTGCATATTTGTTGCTTAATTAAGGATAATGATAATATGTAGAAGAATCATAAATATTTTTTTTTAATATGAAAAATCGATAGTTATATTCGAACGGTCATGATCCACGTCAATTTATAAGATATCGTATATTTTAATTTATTAAACATAATTTTATTTAATAAAATTTATGATTTTTGTTTAAAATTGACTCAAAATATCTTATTCTTTCCATAAATTTTTGGTGATGAGTCGGATGCAACACCTTTTTTGACTATGATTAGTGGTTACTGTCTTATTGATTGATTAATTGACTTGGGACCAACCATGGAACAATTTTTTCCATTTTCTCCATGATTTTGGCCATGATGTTTTAAATGTTCATAGTCAAGATGGGGACTCACTCATTATTGTGGAGGTAAGACCCAACACGCTAAGAGAAGAAAAATTAAGGTTGTTGATTACAGTAGATTTGTAATGCCATTGGAAAAGCAATGGAGAAAACAGCTAACGATAATGTCTATATGTTATTAATCATGATGACTAATCATTGGTATTTCCTGCAATTATTTGATGGATCATCACTTCATCTCTTTGTTCTTTTGTTTTTTTTGTTTTTCCTTCTATCCGAACAGGAAAACTTTCCGTGCAGGTTTGATTTTTGGTGACAAAGTGAACCTTTCAAATTTCTTCCTTTGATTTGGTCTGGGAAACTTGCAGCTGAACAAACAAAGCTTGCCCTGTCTGTTTATGTGATGAGTCGATTGTTGTTATGTCCCTTTTAGTTGAACAAACCCAACATCAAGTAAAACGAACAAAATATACACTTTTTGCAGACATAGCCATGTTTGTTTTCGACAAGGAGACAGCAGTAAAGAACCACCCTTCACCAGGCCTCTTTTAGCACTATAATCCTAACCGCTTATTAAGTTTTTAACTGCCCAAAAGCTATCTAGTGTTTCCTCAAGTAACGCAAAGTAGCAAAATGTTGGAAGATACTTCATGATGTAACTATTATCTTTTCCGTAAAATGGTATCTGACAGAGTGTGAAGGATGTAGTGTTCATGCTTATAACTCTATTAAAATATCTTGCTTGATATAAAATTAAAATATTTTAATTATTTTTCTTGAAACGCTTGACGTGACTGTAACATAAAAATAAATTGTAAGAATTAAGTTTCCATGTAATGTAATATTGAAGTTGGGAAACCTGCCACACGCAAGATAAGGTTGCAAAGGATCAGCAATAATTCCAGCGAAAGTGTTTCACTTGGCCTGATTTTGATGATGAGAGCTCAGTAATTGACTCTTAATGGTCTTTTCAAGTGACTCTTGATGACAAATTGACCAGCCAACTACGTATAATTGGTTCTCTTTCTGCTCTTCTTTTCTTTTTTGAAGAGATCAAATATGGGCTTTGTCTGCATGACAATAGCTTGTTAAGCGTTGCACCTGTGTCTTAATCATCACATGGGATCAGCTGAGAACATGCAGGGGCAAAGTTTCTTCCGCTGATCCAAGATCGGATAAGGTTAGCTCAAATAAGCAACTACAGCAGACTTGGACATGGGCATCTAAGGGCTGGAATCAAAGTCCAACAGTCCAATTCATCTCTGGTGAGACCCATTATGTTGAGGAACGGGTCGGGTCGGGCCGGATTGGACTTTTTAAGAATTTCGGGCCGATGGACTTGGCCCATGGAGACCCCCACTGGGACACAAAAACCAAAGTGAAAAGCACAGCAGAGAGATGTCAAGGCACTGTAATCAGGTTCAAAGGCCAAAAATTTATTCACTGGTAAATTAAATGTCTTTTGTAACGATTAACGAACAATTATTCATGTCTCTTGCCCTTTGGGTAAGACAGCGGTTTTACAGAGCTTAGAACTGGCATTGGGCGAATTTTATAATGAGTAATGTAAGCAAGGTATAGACAAGCTAAGCTTACATATATCTTGTACAACTTGGAAGAAAAGGTGAGATAAGTGAATATGGCTGTAAGGGATATTATCACTATAAGATTTAATAAGGACTTCAAAGTAGAAAGTTCTTGTTGAGTTCCTTGGTTAGGGAAATGTCCCTGAGATTTGAAATCTGAGAGCAACTGGTCCTTGAGCTTGAATGTGTCCATCAACCAAGCAGCAGCCTCTGCATTAGATGTTGGGATCTCCTTAACTGGGATACGTCGAACATGAATGTGAACCTCTGATGGATCCACACCAAATACATTGTCCAGAAAGAAGGGGCATTGGTGCTTATATGCAATACTCAAATCGTAAACTGCAGTTAAATCAGAACATAGAGGAGGGTAAAAGTTTTAGAAGAAGCTATATCAATAGAATCCATGATTACTCATCTAACATATTCACAATAACTAACAAGAGTTAATCCTGGACTGTGTAGTCACCAGCATTGTGAGATTCTATGTTAGTACGATAGCATCAAGCAAAATTAAAGCATTGAGGTTTGTTTGAAATGAAGAACCTGCATCCAAAGAGTCCCTAAGTGTTTCTAAGCAAAGGCAAAACCCCCTTGTTTTCGGTAGCAGCACATTTGTCAACACAGGCAATCCATCTTCAGCTGCAAACTTCTGACTCTTCCTGCATTTTTCTTCACTGCAAAAAAATGGCAAACGAAGCATTAATACTTGTCCTAGATCAATCCAGAGTAGTAGGTTTTTTCTAACAAAAATATCATTTTGTAAGTTCAAAATGATACATAAGCTGACACAAGATGCAAAACAACATTTTGAAGACATGTATTTGCACCAATGGAACCTAAAATAGCTCTATTTAATAGAAAGTTCTGCAACTGCAACACAGAACAAATCATAAGTTTTGTTTAATAAGACATTTAGTAGAATATCATCTTTTAAATATTTGGGTTTAGTTATATAAGTGTCAATGTGAGAATAGAAGATTAAAGGAATACTGAAGAGTACGTAAAGTCGGTTCCTTCAGGGAAAAGAGCAAGCCATAAAGGATCTCCAGGATTCTTAAAGGTTGAAAGCATTTGGTGCAGGACATTTTCGTCAGTTTCCCACTTCCTATCTACTGAAATGAACTCCAAGATGTGAAATCCCCAACCAAGGACAGGTAGTTTCATCAGGCTGCTCTTAAGGATATATTTGATGTAGCCCAGGCAGCCCTTTCGCATTGCAAGATCCCAGAGGTACATCCAATCAACTTCAGTCCTGTGATTGACAATAAGTAAAACACGTTCCTTCTGTGGAACATTATCCCCAGAGAACACCACTTTAGTCCTGTTTATTTTTTCAAAAAGAAAGGGCCACAAAGCTAGCCATAGGCCAAAGAAGAAGGATGTTGCCTTCCTACTGTAGTGTAGGCTGAAAAATCGCATTAAGACAGCCCCAGGTCCTAAATACACTACAAACATGAAAGCAGTCGAGAGAAACACCACCAAACATGTCAAACCCCTTAAAAACCTAAGAGGAGTCAAAGGGCGGTGCTTTAATTTATCATCAGGTTTGAGGGGCCTGCAAACTTCCATCTTGTCCTGGCAGCCGTCCAAAGACTCACCCTCCTATTGACAGACAGCTGCAATAATTGCCTCAGAGTCACTTTAAGTTGTTCCTAGAGTTCAAGAGCATAGCAGAAAACTAATAGGAAGTGCAATGCAAATCCATAACAATTCCAAAGATCAAAATGCCAAACCTACTTCTAAAAGAAAAGGAAAACATGCAACAAACACATCATACCAGTCGATTAGTCGTCAGAGAAATCAAGCATCTAGGAAAACGATTACATATGATTGACAGGTAACTCACATCCTCAAAGGAATTACTGCTTTTTCAATAACATTATAAGCTGCAAGCATGTACATTTTGAATTGACTAACAACTTGGTACTGCTGAAACTCCTCCCAAGGTTACAACCAGAAAGGTTCACTACCGGGGATGGGTGCTCAACTACAATGGTGAAGACTGGTACATACATACATACATACAGCACTAACCAGAAAGGCTAAAATCAAACTGATTTCCGGTGAAAATGTTCAGAAAGATCTTGGCCAGCAACACATTCGTTACTTTAATTACTATATGATTCTCCTAACAAGTCATGACATTAGCAATTAGCAGTAAGAAACTTCATATTCTGTCAAACCTAATTAGTTCTAATTAAGTAGAATTCTTTCCTTATTTCATTTCCTAATCCATGACAAAGGAGAAATACGCAACCATGGATCCAGTAATCAACCCTTCACATAACTGCAAACATTAGCAGTCAAAAAAAAAAAAATAAAACCATAAAAATAAACGCAGATATTAACTCAAAATTGAATGCAGTCTGCAGATATTTATTACGCCTCATTTCTTGGTACGGTATATTAATTGCATTTATTATAAATTTGTCCATTTACAATAAAAACTAGACAAACCAACACAAGTTTCTACAGAGAAAAAAAGGAGAAATCCAATCTTAAGAAAATACGAAAAATCTAATCAAATCAATAAAGAAAACCAGAGTTCTTAATGAATGAATGGATGCCAATAAAACATGAAACAAAAAAAAAAAGAAAATTAATAATAATAATAATAATAATAATAAAAGAAAGAAAAAAACCATTAATTAATTTAATAGTACCTCGTGTCGCGAAAAGGAAGAGGCGGAACGAGAATGAAGGACAGTTATTTTCGAGATTTGAGAATGGAAAAGAAAAAGAAAAGAAGAGTAAATGGTCAATGGAACAGGGGATTGGCGAATTAAAACGATTTGGAAGAGGAGTCGTCTTAATCTAATCTTAAGAAGGAAGGAAAGGTTGGTTCACAACAATTAAGACGACCGTCAGGTGCCGACACCGGCCTTTTCCTCTCGGGCTCAAATCAGGCGAAATTTCTTGACGGGTTGGCTTTGACTTTTGGCCCTCCCTACGTTTGGAGTCACAATGATGAGTGACACCTGTTTTTAGATATCTAATTGCTTTGCCAATTAGATAATTCTTGTTTGCATTTTCTTTTTTTTTTAAAGTAATCCTAAGGTTGATAATAATATCGATTTCACCCATTCTTGTGAATGTTTTTTTTGTTTACATTTAGTCATTTACATAATTATTATTATTATTAATTTTATTATTCGATCTAATTATCGAATATTATTTTTATTTAATGACTCCGGCCTGCTTGGAACATAATGAAACTCGTAAAGAGTTGGTGGAAAAGCAGGATTTTGGTATTGGTGAGGGTTCCGAAGCCGTCATCGGTTGTTGCGCAACATTCCATCTTCCAAAGATACTTCCGATTCAATCCAGCATTCTTTTCCGACGTGGACTTCTTCTCTGAGTCATAAAACCACTACACCCATTTAATTGCCTGGACCACTAGATTTATAGCCCATTTTCGTATTTTTATAAAAAAAGTAGAAAATATTAAAATGTATCTATAAAAACTTATTGAAGTGATATTCATAAAAATATATTTAAAGAAATATATATATATTTTAAATGGGAAAGGTTGCACTGGCTTAAGCCTTAAGGTAAAAATATAAGGAATGCATTTGTTCTCTTTTGAATTTAGTCAAAATAGTGTATTACACTCATTAAAAAAAAATTAACACATGTCATGTGCTTACATTTTTAACATAAAAAACATATTTATTAAATAAAAAAAATTTATTTATAAACTCAAAACTTATTATTCTGTTTATTGATAAACTCTTATATTATTTGTTATGAATACACGTTTTTAATTTAAAAATATTTATTTATAAATAAAAAATTAACTTATTTTATACTAATGTGAAATGTGTGAGGCATCTATTTATATAAAATGACTTTTAAAAAATAAAATATTTATAAACATAAATGTAAGACATCTTTATCTTATTGACTTAGAAAGATATTAAAAGCATAGGACACAAGATCTAGAATTGAATGTAAAGAAATTGGTATAATGGTTCATAAATGATAGGGATGTGATGATGTGCTGTGGGCTTTAAATGAGAGTCCGGTATATGCGGCAGAGAAGCCTGCTTGTAATCAACAGCCCACGAAAAAACAAAACATACCTACAAAGGAAGGAGAATTTTCAGTGGTTGATATTTTCCAAACTAGAACCCTTTCTTTTCGGGGTGGTGGTCGAAGAAGTGCACGTTCTCCTGTCCTGATCTTGACCACTGACTTAGCAAACCCCCGCTGGTAAACCCGGGGGGGAGCTCCAGTTGGATTAAAACTCTTTAACACTAACTGTACATTTTTATAGCTCACGTGTTAGAGAGAAGAAACCTTCAGCTTCAAGTCACGTGTTTTTTGCTTCTAGATACAAACGTCATTTTCTCCAAAAGAAATAGATCGGGGGATTTGCTGAGATAAGTGCTGACACCCTTGTTTTCTCATTAATTATCGATTGCTATTTTCTTTTTTTTTAAAATATAACACAAATTAAAATTATATACTTGATTAGGATTAAATAAGTACATATAATGTAATCCTAATTTAAACAAAATGGTTCAAATAAATGAATTAATTATATTTTTTGTTTTATTTTTACATCCAACTGTATAGTAGTAATAGCTTTGCTTTTAACATTCCAAAAAGAAAATAATATCAGTAACTGTTAACATATAGAAAAACCAAAAATTGCTAAACTAGACCATTATTCACCTTACAAAAGGCTGATAGAAAAATCCAATAACGGCTTTACCACCATTAATAACCTACATGCCTTGCATGTAGAAGTGCTTGATATGTGTCAAGTTTAATATTATATTATAATAAAATCATTATTTTTTTAAAAAAAATTAATCTAATAAAACGTGTAATACTTATATTTATAAATTTTTAAAATCTTCTATTTATTCATACAAGATTTGAAACATTTGACGTGATATTATCATTTAGTTAATTAAAATATGTTTTTTTTGTACAATATTTAATTAGTAGTAACTCTTTTTCTTATGCTATTAGGGAATGCAAGCTATTATTAAAATTTACTAGTTTACTTACAAATGAAGAAACAATTACTCAAAAACATTAGTATTTAATTATCCTAGTTCTTATTCATTCTTTTTATGAACAACTTTTCGATCGAGGTATACACTTAAGAACTTTACAGATCGGAAGCAAGAAATTGAAATAAAAATGAAAATGTTTAACTATTGATTTCCCTAACTATAGAACAAAATTATTAAAAGAAAAAATGAAAGTGGGTGTAGAAATCATTCACTCTTTATTTCCGAGCTACCACGGGAACGACCGGAAGAAGAACCACCATGTCCACTTGCATCATCGACATTTCTCTTTCTCAAATGCCGCTTAACGTAGAAATTCAGGAACAGCCAAAGAATTACGCCGTTGAGTACAGAGTTGAATCCCCAAGCTCCCATTCCATTGCATCCACCTTTCAGAAAATGCAGGAAAAGAACCCCAAAATGGCAGAGCAAGTTGCACCCCAGAAGCACCACCTGGCAATTCACCACGAAAGGGAAGCAAGCGCTGGGCAGCCCAATCGCGGTCCAGAATCGGTACCCATAGACCACGGAGTATAAGAGAGTGGCCAACAGAATGGCCAGGACTTGAAACGATTGAGAGAACTCGAGCCACAGGAAAGACATGCACAGAAGAATTGATTGGTTAAAGAGGTGAAAGAATGTTAATTTGCGGTGGCGGAGAATGGTGAAGAATGTCCGGAAGAGGTGAAGGAAACGGGAGAGGTAAAAAACGTAGGACCAGAAGAACACGCGCCCAGAAGGGCGCGTTCCTAAAGGGAAGCAGAGGAGCCATTGGAATGGGGTGGTGATGGTTTTGGTGCGGTGCCAGAACCAACGCGTGTCGCGAATCTCGGCTGCCGCGGAGAGCAAAATGCCGACAAAAATAACGGCGGAGATTAAGGACACGCAGAGGCTGTGGATGGCTGGGATTGGCCCCAGCGGGAGCCGTCGGCGTTTGGGGAGTACGAGAGAGAGGAAGGCGTGGAGGGTCGTAGCTGCGACGACGTAGACTGCAATGGACGAGAAGAGGAAGGACCACGTGGAGCCGAACGATTGGGTGTGGCTCCACCGGAAGTTCACGATCGACGGATGCTCTGATAGCCAGTATTTCACGGATTGCATCATGCCCGGATTTTGTTTCACATCAACCCCCAAAACCCAAAATTGTATCTGGAATCACAAAATGCTACAAATTTCTGTTTGGGAAGTCAGAATCGGAAGGGAAAATAAAAGAGAGAAACTTGTTATAGTTGGGAGCAGGATTGAGAAATGGCAAATGACAAAGAAAAAATGAAGGACGGCGCAGCCTATTTGTACCTTTGAGGAGACAGACACAGCTTGGAGATTGTTAGTTTGGAGGTCAGCGGAAGAATCCTTTTCCCGGTTCCAATATTCCCCCTTTTTTTTTTTTCCTTCACGGCCAAAAAAAAAAGGGGAAATAATAGGTGGCTCGGCCCCCATTCGTCCGACCAACCGCGTTCGCGGGGTCAAGGGCTAAGGAACCTCTTCCACATTAGGCAGTGCAGACTTCCTTGTCCTTTTCTGGGATCTGTTAATTCAGGCTAACCAAACTGACCCTGCTAAATATACCATAGCAAAGCTGATTTTCGAAGGATTTTGTAATTATAACATAAAAAAAGTTAATAATAATAATAGTAGTAATAATTTGAAATGTCAAGCGTAGCTTATCATATTTGTTTGGGTTATTGAATTTGATAATTTCTTGGATAACCCAATCTTTTTAAAGATTAGCTAACTTCTTTTGACAATTGCATAAGCTATTCTAGCACATGACTTGAATTTATTGTGTAGGTTGAATATTAAAATTTTAAACACCTTGGAAATATATTTTCCATGGTTAAGTCCTTATCAATTCATCCACGTTGTCACTATATTTATATTTTCTATGATTAACGTGGTTTTAGCTGTGATCTTCATAATGGAACGCATTATTCTTTTGATTATTGAAGGTTAGGGAAGACCATGGTAGGGTTTGGCATCGTTTCTTTGATTTTGATGTTTCCTTGGGAATCCGAAAGAAATAAAACTCCGGAAGACTTGGACAATGAATTTATTATACCATGCTAATTAAGGCAGGGCAGTGTCTTCGCATTCTAAAGATGATGTTTTCACATTTAGTCTTTAATTAAATGTTTTTTTGTTTGCCTTTGTTAGTAAATAAAAATATTTTTCCACCTAATAAATATGTCTTCAAACGAAATTGCGAGCAGGCAATGAGTAGTATCAAAACCTATATAGAGATACCAATATTAGAAGGGACTTGGATTAAAGTAGATTTATCTATTTTATGGGTAATAGAATCCATACAATGAAAATGTTGCATAATTAAGTATGAGAAAATATCATAATTCTCGCATTGAAAAATGATGAAATGTCTCTTGAAATTATAAAAAAGAATTTACTTTCATATAATAGATATGTTTTTAAAATTAAAAGTGTGAACTCGATACATAATCTATTACGAACATTCATAATTTTTGACTCGACCCACATCTTAATTTGTCATTTTTGTTAGAAAATGATATAATACAAACGAGAAATTGCATCCTAATTACTTAGGCAATTAAGTATTCCATATGAACACGTCTAGAATGTAAGCCTTAATCAAGAAGGATGTCCACCAATGTTAAATGCACAATAAATTTTGGCCTACTTTTCGCCTATTATAATCGAATTGTCTACACCAATTAAGTAGGTGCTGGGATCCTTACTCTGTTTTTCTTCTCTGTTATTATATTGAAACTGACATCCCATTAATTTAAATTCATCATATATAAAATATATTAATAATGCATTTCTCTATCACACTTTAGAGTTCACACATTTTGCTTATTTTGTTTAGCATTTTACATTCCAATTAATTTGCTTCGTACATATTGATACCAAATTTTGATTTAAGTTTAAACAAACACTTTAACTTTAATAAAGATTTAATCATCATTAAATTTAATATTAATAATTATTTAAATTTTTTATTCACATGACATATTTTTTTGACTTGATTATATACATTGGGTATTTTAAATATATCAACTCTTTTTAAGTCATATGTTACGTAAGTAGAAAACTATTAACTAATATTATATATGATAGCGAGTTAATTTCCGTTAGAATTAAGGATTTATTTAGATGTTTTGAATATAAAGAAGTTGAAAATTTTAATTGAATAAATTATCTTGCCTTAAATAAAAAACAAAGACACGTTACCAACAAAAAGCCTCAGCCAGTTTTTAATTAGTAAAATGGGCTTTGCACAGCAAAGAAATTGGGCCCACTATCGATTGCGGCACCGCGACTAGCCCGTCCGTGACTAGCCAAATCTATAAAGAAAAAGGCCTTTAGTTTTTTCTAGAAATTAAATCAAAATTAATTGCGAATGTCAACGCGACGGCAGTTTAATCAACGCGGACCGTTCCAGCAATCGCATTCAAACGCCGTTAATCGCCAGTACAAAAGAACACGCGCCATCTCATCGCCCGGTCAACGAGTCAAGGGAAACCAACCACTGGATTGGCGCCACGTTGAGGGTACCCCATTCTCTCAACGGAAGAAGATTCCCTCAACAGAGATAGGAATAGTGTGGAAATGTTCTCTAGGCTGTAACCGCGTTAAGAATAATTTTATTTCCAAAGAAAGGAGTTTCTTTATTCCTCATTATCTTTTACGTTTTTGGATCGGTCGATTGGGCAATCGATCGGTCCTTCTATCTCCTCTGTCTCTTTGAGGTCAGTAATTTCCCATTTCTCCTCTTTTTCTTTGGTCGATTTTTTTTTTAATTTTTCGTCATTTGTTTATGTTATCGTTGAATCCGGATGGCAAAATTCGAATATTTTTCGTTGATTAGTTGTTATGAATCGTGTTTTTGTAATTGGTGATGCTGATTCTCATAAGAGATCTGATGGTTGGGATTTGAATCTTTGAGATTGTTTAATTTCTCGAAATCAAGTGAATTTTACAGGGTATGATGTTCATATGAATTACTTTGATTTTGTTATTTTATAGCTTTTGTTCTTTCATTGAATTGGATCTTTTAATATATAGTGGTAGTTTTTAGTTTCAGGATTTATTTTGGTTCCATTTTTTGATGTTATAGGAATCCGAGTTTTGGAAGTCTGAGAAATGGCAGGTGGGCTTGGGGAATCAGCGAGCCAGTCGCCCCAAAGTCCATCTTGCTCTAGCAGCAATGCTAACGGTGATGCTGGTAATTTTGAGTGCAATATCTGCTTTGACTTAGCTCAAGACCCCATTGTGACTTTATGCGGTCATCTCTTCTGCTGGCCTTGCCTTTACAAATGGCTTAACATTCATTCCCGTTCTCATGAATGTCCTGTGTGTAAGGCGCTTATTGAGGAAGAAAAGTTGGTCCCCTTGTATGGAAGGGGAAAATCATCGAGTGATCCTAGGTCTAAATCCATCCCGGGTGTCAACATTCCGAATCGTCCAGCTGGGCAGAGACCTGAAACGGCTCCTCCGCCTGAACCAAATCAGTTTCCCCAAAATGGACTGGGATTCATGGGAGGGTTGGGAGGTTTTGCACCAATGGCAACTGCTAGATTTGGGAATTTCACACTGTCTGCAGCCTTTGGTGGTCTTATCCCATCATTATTTAACCTTCAGGTGCATGGGTTTCCCGATGCGGCTATGTTCGGTACAGCTGCTGGGTATCCATACGGATTTTCAAATTCTTATCATGGTGGCCATGCTCATGGATATCATCATCACCATCATCATCATCATCGTACTGCTCAAGGCCAGCAGGATCATTACCTGAAAATGCTGTTTCTGTTTATCATTGTTTGTGTTATCTTTGCAATGATTTATCAATAGATCAAATCTGCTATCAGAGCCTAAATCGCTAACTTATGTTAGGAGTGTCAACCCCATGTCTTGTATAAATCTAACATTGCATTTTCTTTCCTTTTTTTTTCTTTTCTTTTTTGTGGGTGAGGAATTGTTTATATAGTGCTTTCAATATTTATTTTTGCTCATTTAATGGTTGCCAGTACATGTGGAATGCAGCTTATATGTTTCAGTATTTAAGCAGTGCAAGATCTTTTTATCTACTGTATCATTGAAATGCATCACTGTGTTGTAGCGGCTAATATATTCTATACCCTATAGTTCACAATTTGGCCTTTTTTCTCTTCTTTGCCACTTTGCCTTTTATTATAACATTTTCACTGAACTTATCGTTGTGGAAGCTCATGTCTTCAAGTATTTTGCGAACATAAAATGCAGTAAAATTTCATGTGGCTAGCCATTTTGTAAATTACAATTTTTAGAACTTCGTGCAATCTTAATACATTATGTATGGCCGTTCTATCTGTCATGGTTACTGGTTATTTCTTGAGTCTGTGAGAGGGGATAGCTGAGAGAGGATTAGATGGTGTTGCTTCTCTCTGTAATTAAAGCTTTATTATATGCATTTTCCATAACCGTGCTCGAAGTTCTGTTGACACTGCCCTTTCCCCTTTCATTTGAGACTTTATGAACAAAGAGTTTTTATTTAGTCAGAGATAATAAAAATGGCCCCTTTCTGTTAATTTCTATGACAGAATTATACATGCTTGTTTGGCTGTTTATGTAAGTAAGGAACTAAATGTTTCTGTCTTTGTAGTTATTATAGATCATGGTATTGGCTCGAGTCTGGAACCCAGGTTGTGATTCTAGTGCATGGACTATGAATATCAATTTGAAAGATAGATATGACATTGATTGTCTTGTTTTGCTTGGTTAATTGAGCTTGTGGCTCTCATTGTCTATTTTTAAAGCTGAGCTATTTTAGTGGCAAATGTAGAATACTAGTGTTCATTGTGCTGACATTGTTGAGCTTGGTAGCTCCTTTTTGCATCTATATCAATAAAAGTTACTGTCTTATTGAAACGCAAAGAGAGATATCCAATGAGGGCAGCTGCCCCATAGAACTATTTCAAAAGTTAGAATCAGTAGTTATATTGTGCTTGATGTTGTTGTAGGCATTGCCCTGTTATTGTCAGCACTCACCCGTTAGAACACTACCATTTCGAAGAGGAAACAACCTTCTTTTTGTGCAACCTCCTGTGTTCACACATGCACCTATAGCTTTTTGTTCAAGTTGGTTTTGTTGCAGCATGATTGTGGAGTCTGGTGTTGGTTTTATCCTTAAAACTACTTTCAGACAGCCATCACATGATTTTGCTGTACTCCATAGACAGTGATTCTACTTGGAAGTGGGACTTTTTATCCAAGATACTTATGGGCTCGAATTGTTTTCATATGTTTTCTTTGATGGCATGTGGTCCTAACATGGCTCCATTTGGTCTGCCTCCTAGAGTCATCTGATCCTCCAGTTTACGGATTTTCTTGTTGATTGTGGCCCCTTCGATCTAAAGACCACACTTTAAGCACATGGGTTGCTTGCTGGGCCTGGAGTTTGGGGACTGCTGAACTTGCAGATTTGAAGGCCTTGGCCTCATGTCAGGTAATTTCATTTTCCCTCTAAGTGCTAGGAGCGGTTAATTTGTGAAATTACTTGGAGGCTCAACTGCTATATTAGAGGTGACAACCGGACAAGTTGGGGCTTGAATCGTTTCAAATACAGGTTGTTTACTTGTACATAGTTAACATAGTAAACTGATATTTCTTACACAATTTTCAGACCAATGCATATGATGTAGAACTGGTTTGAACTTATGTTTCTTAATCATGGGTTTGTAACAAAATGCTCTTGGCCCTTATGTTTCTTAAGCATGTAATTGCATTTGAAGGAGTCTTAAGATCTTGGTTTTGTGATTTTGAAACGAGACTTGTGTTGTTTGTAGAAAAGACATGTGTTGGTCATATCTTCCATCATGCCAAAAATGCCCATTTCCTTGAAGGTGCACATGGCACGAAAAGGACCAGTACTTGTTGCGTGTTACGAGCTGTCCATGGCGTCAGGCAGGGCTGGTCTGGGTGTGGTTCAGTCTCTCATGTATATAAGTGACCATATCACTTTCTTTTATGTCAAAATGTCTGGTTCTGTGACTTAAACATCGAGCACTTTTCTTTTTGCGGTGCAAGTTGCGGGTCCAATGGATAAGCCTGTGGCCAACGATTGCGAGATAGCTAGCTTCACTGCTTTCCCTTTTAGAGAAACGACATGGCATGTTTAATTTTAGTGGACTCTTCCACCACCATCCTATCTGTTTATGCAAAAGATAAATAATGCAGGGCATTTATATCACTCATTTTCATAAAAAAAATACTAAACAAAATGACAAAAAAAAAAAACTAAAATCATCATGTATTGTTTGAAATCTCAAATTCTAGTATTACCGTTACGTAAATTTGATCAAATTTTTTGTTTGGACATTGATTTGTCGGTAAAGGTGATTTCATTTAAATAAAAAAGTCGTCGGATATTAAAAAATATATATTTTTTATTGTTCAGAAGTAGAAGACAATGTAAATTTTGGCTTGCTGTGTAAAGTTGAATGCTTCAGTTTCCGGATGAACATAGCAACAAAAAGGGGAGGAGTTGTAGAAGCTTCTTGGTAAGTGCATGAAAGTCTCTGGTTTTCAAGGATACCACTTCCATTTCTGTCAACTTGTTTGATCTTGCAGTGCAAAGAATTTTTATATTTACCTTAGTGGATAAAATCAAAACTAGGGACACGCAAACTGCAACGCTGAAATCATCAATTTTTCAATTCTTCAAACGCTTTGACCCCCCAATGCTCAGTCCGTTCTCCCTAGTTGTACTGAACTGAACAACCGACGTACATGTACCTGGTGTTACTGGGATGACTTAGATGCATATGGACAAAAAAGGGTTGAAGCATGTGCTTCTCATTGAAGCCGACTTTTATGACCGATCTGATACATTGGGGAATTGTCGGTAACCTTGGAATCTGCAGCAACTGTTACCAAGCTTACGTTGTCGGGGGGTAAGCCCCGAGCTGATCCCCATCTTCAAATTCTTCGGTTTTTGTGTTTTTGGGCAGTTGGTTGTTGACATTGTTCCTCACAGGGATCTTTGCCTTGCCCCTGCTTGTTACATGTATCCCCATTGCTGGGGTATGTCACAGGGATGGGTGCGATGATGGTTATTGATTAGTGTTGATAGCTAGGATATGGGTGGGGAAGTACTCTCTCTCTACTTCCCCAACTCCACCACTTCCATTGCTTTGTTTAAATTCTATACATTTATGTAAAATTGGGTCAAAGAAAATTACCCATCCCTGCAATCAAGTTGAAATCACCAAAAAGTTCAGACAAATCCTTCAAAAAGGATCTAATCTAACGATAAAATTTTTAATGTTTCTCCGTTAGTGCATGATAGCTGATCTTATATAGCTTTTAAGGTCAAATAGTAGATCCATTTTTGCCAACTTGCTTTTCAATGGTGGGTCCTATATCCCTCCCCAAATCTCTCTAGAGAGCATAAGAATCAACCAAGATCACTGTAAATGATTAAAAACTTCATTCACAGTTGTATATGCCACAACAACCATAAGGAGTTTCCTTACTATATACCTCTTGCATGGTTGTTTCCGACAGGGTTGATTCAATTATCTCTTCTTGAGTTTTTTAAGACATGTTTTTGAACATAATTAGCGTGTTTTACTGACATTAAGTACCCCATAATTTTGGGGTTTCTTGCATATGAAAGCTCCCTAGTTCCTACCATGTAACTTGCTTCATTCAAGAACATGAAACAGATTTCGATTTCTTTTATGGAAGGTATAGCAGATACATTGTAGAAGGGAAGCATACCTTGGTCACAAAGCATGATTGTTCTGGTTGCTCAACCATGCTTTTCCAGGACTGCGATTGTCTACCATATCTAAGAGTTCACTCTCTCGATTTGTTTTACCTTCTGTTGTCTCCCTGTACGGTCGCTGTTGAGATAGGCGGAGACAGAGAGAGAGAGAGCATAAAAGAAAGCACCCCTCGTTTTCATTCTCCCTTTGAATGGCAAAAGGATGCTTTCTTTCTTTCTGTTGGCTTAAACTTCAATCAAAATACATATCCACTGGTTTTAGACAATTAATTACATCATGTGAAGGTATAAAGAATGAGAAAGAACAACATGAGATTATGATGATATGGTGACCTCATGGTCCTTGAACAGAACAAAAAGAAGTTCACCTACAACCCATTATTGACAATTATCATATAATTCTAGGTTGATTGATAACGATATTAAGAAATTACGTATCGATTAATGATAAGTTGATTCAAATGGTAAGATCGTGTGTTCCGAATCTTAAACATTGTAGCTTTAGTATGTCTCATTTCATTTACTTGATTCTACATTTATACCATGGGAGAGCAACTCTATTCTTTAAGAAAATGCAAAGCATCCCTAATTGAGTGAAATGGAGAAGAGCATTTTGAGAGTTGAGGGAAAAGGATGTAGGACCATAGTGTGGACCCTTTATTGAAATATATATATAAAAGAAGACGATAGTATACAAACGAATCTAGAATTAATGTGAACTCAACAACCCCCACCTCTAAAGAGAATTCTTGACTAAGCCCCCCCTCCCCTTAAAATCCCCTTCCTTTCTCTGCAGCTTTAGCCCACCCTTCCAGCTAACTCTCCCCTTCTTTTGTAAATCCCAACCCTTGTTTTAAATAAAAACGAGCTAGTCTAGTCCTCCTCCAGCATTAAAACCCACCACCCCCCTTTACCTTCCTCTTTCAACAATATCTGTCAATTCCCCTACAATGCCTAGATCACCAGCAATCTTTCATTTTCTCCTGCTCTCACTCTTTGCTGTCTTTGCCTTTGCCAATGCCACCGCCGTTTCAACAATGATCCAACAATTCAAAGAAGCCCCGCAGTTCTATAACTCCCTGGATTGCCCTGTGATAGTTGATGAAGATGAAGAAGGTGAAGGCTCCATTTTGTGCTCGGATCAAGCCGTGCACGTGGCAATGACCCTTGATACAGCCTACATCCGGGGCTCCATGGCAGCTATTCTTTCCGTGCTTCAACATTCCTCTTGTCCCCAGAATATTGCGTTCCATTTCGTCGCCTCCGCCACCGCCAACGCGTCACTTTTACGCTCCACCATCTCTTCCTCTTTCCCTTACCTGAACTTCCAGGTATACCCTTTTGATGACTCCTCCGTCTCACGCCTCATTTCAACCTCAATCCGCTCGGCTTTGGACTGCCCTTTGAACTATGCCCGGAGCTACTTGGCCAATCTCCTTCCTTGTTGCGTCCGCCGAGTCGTGTACCTTGACTCGGACCTGGTTCTGGTTGACGACATAGCTAAACTCGCGGCAACTCCACTCGGAGACACCTCTGTCTTGGCTGCACCAGAATATTGCAATGCAAACTTCACGTCCTACTTTACTCTAACCTTTTGGTCAAACCCTTCTTTATCCTTAACTTTTGCGAACCGTAAAGCTTGTTACTTTAACACTGGAGTAATGGTAATCGACCTTGCTCGATGGAGAGAAGGAGATTACACGACAAAGATTGAAGAATGGATGGAGCTTCAAAAAAGAATGAGAATATACGAGTTGGGTTCTTTGCCTCCATTTTTGTTAGTTTTTGCTGGAAACATAGTTCCGGTCGATCATAGGTGGAATCAGCATGGCCTTGGTGGGGATAATTTTAGAGGTTTGTGTAGGGATTTGCATCCTGGTCCGGTTAGTCTTTTACACTGGAGTGGAAAAGGGAAGCCATGGGCGAGGCTTGATGCTAACAGGCCGTGCCCTTTGGACGCTCTGTGGGCTCCTTATGATCTCTTACAAACTCCATTTGCATTGGATTCTTGACAGGAAAAAAAAATGGGAAATGCTTATTAATTTTGCTGGAGGAGCACATTGTTTATTACCATCTTTCTGGCAACTGTTTGTCCGCTGAGAAAGTGACAGAATCATCAAGAAAATGGGGGGGAGCTGTAAAGTTTTTAAAGCTGAAGATCAGATGCTGAAGCTGGACGAGGAGCCAATGGCCTGTGGAGGAAGATTTAAGTTGTTTCTTGTAGATTACGGTACTGAAACAGGTACCATATATACTGCATTAATTTGTTTTTTCTCTTCTTTTACCGAGAAACCAGAAGACTACACTTTGAAAAAGAAGAAATTGGTTGTAACAATAACGAATCCATAAATTTCCATCTCGGATGTATGATGATAAACTGTAAAATCAAAGTCTGTATAGCAAAAAGAGCTGTTTTGGGTGGGGTAATTCTCCACGAATCTTTCCTTGTTCAATATAAAATAAATCTGCACTTGCTTCCATGTGTTCTTGTCATGTGCTTGTTACATGCCCTGGGAAACCATTAATGGAAACTGGTTGGCAATCTGGTTATAAAATTGAATGCTTAAGGATCAAGTTCCTCCTCTTTCCTTGGATCTTAGCATTTCGCGTTCAACCAGCATTATTGGGTGTTCTTCTTCCTTTTTTTTCCCTGGTATTTTAATGGTTGGAATTTTTTCTTTTACTTGGAGATGGCTGGAAAGACACATTTGCCAGCTGATGGGACTCTTTAACGAATAGGGTTGACATAATTAACAACATACAAATTCCTCAAGGATGATTAAAGGACAAACACATACAACTCCATCCTATATATCTTTCAATATTCCTTAGGGATTCAGGGTTTAATTAATCTATACATTTTTAAAAAAAGATTATAAAATTAACTTTTCAATCATTATTTTCTTTATAATTACGTTTTTAATATCCCAATTAATCTTGCTTTAAAATTGAAGAATATAATTACACTCGAAATCACTAATCGAATTAAAAATCAAAGTTAGGTCGTGCCGGATAGAGGAAAAGAGACGGAAGAAGCATATATTAGTACTTGAATGAAAGTTATTATTGCCAAATGCCTTTGCAATCATGTTAATTTTTATTTAAATATGGATGACAAAATTGCACTAATTAAAAAAATGTGAATGACAAGTATTTTGGAATAATTATTTATGGGGAAAATACTGGTTTGTTTGATTATGCCTTGTCAACTTTCAACTCACATTGATTTCTTTTGGTAAGATTTGGATGAATAGAATATTTTAGTCTCCCAAAACTGACCAAATTTAATTATTTAGATCTTAAAGTATTGGCTAATCACTAATTTAGTTGCATGCATTGAATAATTATATTTAACAAAAATCAGATTTAGAATAAGATTGGTATAATATCTAAAAAAAATCCTTGAATTATTTACGAAAAATTTAAATATAGTGTATTCTTTTTATACTTTTATTTTAAATTAAATAAATTTTTATGATAATGGTTTATCACTTATCATTTTATGAGATCTGATAATGACATAGAATACTGATATGTCATAAAAAATGGTAAAGAGATGTGTTGATATGATATAATGATATGATCATGTAATAAATTACATTATATAATCAACATTACAAAAATATAAAAATGATAAGTGATATTTTAATTATTAATAATTAATAATTAATCATAAGTATATATTAAGTAAAAAATGTAATAAAAAATAATTTTTAAATATATTTTTTAAAAAATTCAAAATTTTTTAAAATATTATGTCATTAAAATTTAATAAAGTTATTGATTATTGGTATTGGATCCAATTATGTCAAGTAGGCATTTTCCAAATGCCAGCCTGCTAGATTTTTTGACATTTTAAATCTGATTTTTTATTCTAAAGAATAGTATAATTATTAATTAAGAAAACAAAATTATTTAACAAAAAAAAGAATGGAGTGTCGGTAGATTATAATGGGAAAGAACAAAGAGGGAGAAGTATTGCCGGAACATCAATCAATCGTGCTCGTTGGGGGATTCCACGAATGCCGCGTGGCATGACTTTTAAAAAGGTTATGAAAATTCAACGGCTGCGATCGGGAATAAAGTCAAAGCGTGTGGGTCCTACTTTTCTCAACCCCAAAATATTTTCTCTAGTTAGTATAGTGAAAAATAAAAATAAAAAAACGTGAAATCATAATTAATTTTAAATATGCTTCTGGTCAGTAATTCTTTTATTAGTATCAATCGTTGTGAAATTGGCCTGATAAGTAGGATCAATCCTTACCAGAAATAAATACAGGACCACTTGAAGCAGTAGATCAAAGGTGGAAATGACTTTTAAAAATGACAAACACTATTGTTCAGCGTCAATTCATGGTGATGTAGCCATTGATATCCCTTTCTCCAAAAGCAGCGGGGCTGCACATTTCACGACTATTCTACCTTAATACTCAGTGACAGAAATCTGCACAGATTACAAAGAAGAACACTGGTCAGCTATCTGAAAAGAAAGCTCTTTCGATCTGTGAAGATGGGGTGTTTGCTATTTTGTCATTGGTTCGATTGGAATTAGCATTAGCATTAGCAATAGCAGTAGCAGTAGCAGTAGCACCATATTTAGCAAGTTATTGTCCTTTTTCACGTGGGGGTTTCCTGAGATCGTAAGCAACTTCTTCAGTCCTGGTAGATGGTGTATACCTCTCAGTCTACCCACTTTTGATCGAGCTGTATAAGCAAATTTATAAAATTTACACCTTTGTTCGATGAACCATTCCTTTCTGCATATATCAGAGCAAGTTTTCTTTAACCTTCCATTAGAGAAAAGAATGGAAATCATTTTCAAATCCTGACCAGGGAACAGTATAAGATGGTTAAAGCTTCAGGGTTTTTCTAAGTATTATTTAGTGCTTTAAAGCTTGGGTGTATCCAAATCTCATTGACTTACATGTCAAACGAGTCATCATCAGTCGTTGTATCTGTCGCTGCTGCAACTTTCCTGGAATTGTGAGATCAAGGTGGTTGTTGAGTTCCAAACTATAAGAATGGGGACTAGGCTGATCAACGGAGGTGCTACTGCTTGTTGGTCGAGCAGAGACCTGAAAGAAGAAAAAGGGCACCGGAATCCTGAAGGTTTCCGGTGATTCAAGCTTTGAATAAGTCGAAACAATAATCACCTTAGTTAAGACATAGTACTGTTATTTAATAACTACGTCTCTGCTCGAGACTACTTCTTGGCTTTCCCGTCCTTGGGTTCGGACAACTCAACTTTAACTTCAAAGTGATTGTAAACGTAGGAAGACAGAGACATCCGTCTCTTCCTCCAAATTTGAGAATGGTCTTTTAAAAGTAAAACAGTGACCGCCGATAGTGGAAGTAAACGATACTTTCCTGTCGAGTTGCTAAAGCTCGGCCACCAAGGGAGACCCCTCAACTCTAAGATGAGTCAAATTGAGTGGAAGAAGGATAGGAGATTCTCTCGAAAAGTTTTTTTTTTTTTTTTGAATAAGTAAAGATTTTCATTGATCAAAACAGGGTGTCCCTGTAGATTTTCTCGAAAAGTTATGGTAGATATTATGGCTTTTGATTCGTACCATTAGGCATAAAAAGATTAGAGGTCTTAAATCTGTCGAGTATATTATGATTTACAGTACTGATAGTAACCGTGACATGACTATGGAATCTCTGAAAATTCTAAGAGATTAATAACAGCAGTTACTGATATTGCATGTTCAATTACTATTATCTTGATTGATTAATCTAAACAATATGCAAATGGACAAAAGTACATGAAATGAGCAGTAGTTATGACCTTTGCCAGATTTTGTCACAAAGACCATATGTAGTTCACTGAATCTGTAGTTTGAACATCAAGTTTTGGCTCTGTCCAGAACTATAATTTTCATTTCAACAACTATTTGGATGTATTCCTTGGCTGATACATGTACAAACATTAATCATCCTACCCTATTCTAGCCTCTAGGGCCTGGATTAGAGAGGCATCTAGCCTGGTTCTAGGCATGAAGCATCACTCTAAGCTTCCAGCTGAAGATCATGAAAGTTGGTCCAAAACCAATGCGTTAAACATGGGATTATATGTTTTCAACCTTCCTCCATAGGGCATGTTGAAAATGGACCTCCATTGCGTCTGATTGCCATCAGGAGAAACGATATGCTGGAAGCTCTAAAGCATTTCATGCATGTATTATGCAGGGGAATGCAAGACCAACCCTTGAGTTTCAATGCTAAAGAAGAAAACCAGGATGGCCAATCTTTAAACTTATTCCCACAAATAAAAGTATCCCAGTATCGCCTTAGTTGTGAGCATCCATCAACACACAGCTTCAGATATATAATACACATTGTCTGACACTTTAGCATCTGAGGACACTGTCAAGTCCATTTGCTTCTGTGCAGCAACATCAAGGGATGGACACACGGTATGCATAATATCATGAAGCTTTGTGATCTTCTTCAAATCTCCACATTTAACATGACCCTGAGCAGCCAAAAGTTTCATAGTTTTTCCATTATCTCCTAGCTCACAAAGGCCAGTGACCAATGCAGAGTGGGTGGCTGGAGAAGGGGAAACCCCTTCTTCTATCATTTTCTCTAGCAAACCAGAGGCTTCACAAGTTTTACCAACTTTAAGATATGCATCAATTAATGTATTATAGGTAACAGCATTAGGAGCTAACCCCTTCAATGGAAGCTTAGTGAAAAGCCTCTGTGCTCGATCCAGATTCCCTGATTTGCACAGTCCATTTATAAGAGCATTATAAGTAACAATATTTGGCTTAAGACCCACTTTCAGCATCTCATCTCGTAAACTGAATGCTTCATTGACATTACCAGAGGCTGAATAGCCATGAATCAAAGTGCAGTATGTAAAATTATCTGGATTGAATCCTCGTTGCAGCAAAGCTGAAAAAAATCTTCTTGCATCATCAACCTTCCCTGACTTGCACAATCCTGCCATGGCTATATTATACACCACATTGTTGGGCAGAGAAAAACTTTTGGCACTTTCATCAAGAGTATTTGCAATTTTCTGAATATCCAGGCATCTAACATCAGTCTTCAAGCTATCCAAACCCATGTGAGCCAAAATAGGATCAGTACCTAGCATCTTCTGCAGCAGTAAATTTGCCTCATCAATCCTGCCTATCCTGTACAGGCAACTGACTATTTTGCTGCAAATGATTATGTTGGGTGCAAACCCTTCCTCAATCATCTCAAAAAATATGCTAAATGCTTTTTTCAAGTTTCCTACATCACACCAACCGGTAATCAGAGCCCCATAAGTAACAAGATTAGGGGCTAGTCCCCTGGTAAACGTTTCAGTAAGAAGATCCCCTACTTTGCTCAGTTTTCTAGATTTGAAAACTCCACTAATTAGAGAATTATACATTTCAATTGTAGGAAAAATTGCTTCCCTTTCCATCTTATCTTTAAGTTTTAAAGCTTCTTCAATTTCTCCAATTTTACAATACCCATCAATAAGGATTCTATAAGTTATTACATCTGGTAAGCACCCTAGTTCCTTCATTTTGCCAAATATCTCTTTCGCTTCATCCATTTTCCCTATCTTACATAATCCATTAATCATTGTATTAAAAACAATCCTATTTTTGGAAAAGCCCCTTGCTAAAATACTTTTCCAAAATCCTAAAGCTCTTTCAACATCTCCCATCTTGAAAAACACACCAAGCAGAGTACAACAACTGACCTCATCAGGGAGCAACCCTCTTTTGAGCATCACATGCCAAAGGTGCAAAGCATCATCAAAGGAACCTGCACGACATAAACCCTTGAGAAGGGCATTGTAAGTTACAACACTTGGTTCAATTCCTTCCTGAAGCATCTCATCACAAAGCTTGAAAGCGTCACTCATATGGCCCACTCTACAATACCCATCCACAAGAGTATTATAACTAAATGAATCCGGCTTTATGTTCCAACTACTCATACACATCAACACTCTCTCTGCCTCATGAGTTTGACCAAACTTACAATACCCGTTGATCAACGAATTGCAAACAAACAAATTCATCTTCAACCCCATTTTCAACATCTCTTCCTGAATCCTTAGAGCATTATCCATTTTACCAACTTGACAATAACCATCTAACAGCACACCATAAGCAAATTCATCCACAACCATCAATTCCTTCTCCATCTCTTTAACCACCTTCTCTGCTTCCTCCATCTCACGTTTTTTACAATAACCCTTGATCAACATTGTATAGGTAACCACATTCCTCGAAATCCCTTTCTCAAGCATCAACTTAAACACCCTTTTCGCTCCCTCCATATCTCCCAAACCAACAAACCCATCAATCAAACTATTATAACTAACCACATTCAACTCAAAACCTGAATTCTCCATTTCTTCAACAAACTCCACTGCTCTCTCCGCTCTCCCTTGTTTACAATACGCATTAACAATTATCGAACAGGTAAACACATCTGGCACGATCCCAATACTGATCATCTGCCCATAAACAAGCAAAGCCGTATGACTTTCCCCATTCTTAACCAAACTACTTAACAAACAATTACATGATCTTAAACTGGGGACACGACCGTACTTTCCCATATTATCAAACACATTCAAAGCATTTTTAATCAACCCTTTTTCAGCATAAATTTTCAATAACATATCGAAAACCAAGGGAGAAAATTTAAAATCCTTATAAACCCTGACGAGCTCATTCCAAACTAAAAAAGAGGAGTACTTGTTCTTACGTAAACCGACCAACTCGGATAAATGAGCTCTGGTTTCATCGTACATGCGAGCTCGACACAAGATGTGGACGATTATGCAATACGACTTGACGTTTGGTCGGAAATTTTGTTGCTTCGAAGCTAATTTGAAGAAATGCAAGGAAGCGTTGGGGTTTAGTTTAAGGTTTCGGAGAACGGAATTGAGGAGTTCATCGGAGAAGTCGAAAGACAGGTCGTTGAGGGCGTTGTAACGGCCTAGGATGAGGAGTCGGGTGATCCGGGAGAGGAGTTCGGGTCCGGTGATGTTGAATTCGTCCCGGAGTTTCCAGCGGAGTGGAGAGGACGCGTGGAAGGATTTGAGCGGGCGGTGGAGATGAGCGTGCAGGGAAGGAGAGTGGAGCCGAAAGTTCCTGAACATTGGGTTTAAGCATCTCAGTTATGAAACAATCGGCATTTCTGGCCGTTGGAGAAGAATCAAATATTGCATTCCAAGGTTTTGACTTGGAGCATGAAACCTTTTGCGGTGAGGAAATGCTTCTATTTCCATGCCGACTCTGCAGTTGAAAGAGAAGAGATGGGGGCATTCGACGCTGTAGTTGCAGGCTTGAAACTTGAATTGGGTTAACATGGCCTGTTTATAGGAAACGAATGGGCTTTTCATTGGGCCGATATCTTGGCTGTCCATTGCTGTTAGGATACATGGTAGGAGGACATCTAATCCAACGTAAACTTTGGCTGTACTTCGATTGTCAATGTCCTGTTTCTGTCAAGTGGAAACTCACTTGAATTTTCGTGGTGGCTCTGCTCTTTTTAATGTCTGGTCTTGTTCTAACAGGTTTCAATCCGGGCACAAAGATTTTGCCAAAGACTAGTGGCTGAACGACTCATTTCTGTGTAGTCATTGAGTAATTACTTTGAATACTCTGCCACTACCCACCCAGCTCCAAGCTTTTGAGCTGTTGAGGATGAAAGGTTCCTCCCCCCATTTCATTTTCTTGAAGGTGACATTGAATCTTTTTCCCCCTTAAGGGGACAACATATATATAAATACGTTCCCAGCAAGTCCGGACCGGAAGGCTGCCGGGGTTCATGAACTCTGCCAATACCACACTCTCGTACTTTCCATTGCCATATTCTATGTACCTCAGGCTCAGCAGTTCATCTCGGTGCAATCAGATTTGAAGGGGCGGAAGTATCAATGAAAGCAGTTAGAGACAAATGAAAAGGGTGAAAAGGTAATAATCTTTCAAAGTCATTGGTTGATATTCACCATTATTGAGGCCAAAGGATGGAAAAAGTGGGGGAAAAAAGTGTCCCACTTTTTCCATCTTTTCTCAGTCACTTTCCAAAAGGACTTAATACAATTTGTACGAAGGTCAGTAGTTTTGCCCCTCCCTAGAAGCCAAAGAAGCTGCGTAGCAACTTCGGGCCTCTTTAGTCTTCCAATCAGCGCAACTTCTGCGCAAGACTCGAAGTTCCCCTTTGTAACTCTGTTTACAAATTGCATAGCAATGTGAAAATCCGAGGGTAAATTTCTGACCAAACTATTCTTTTCGCTAGTATATATAATATACATATTATGGAGTAATACCTTTACTCGAGTTAACCCTCCTGAACAAAGCAGTTTTCCAATGGAAATTGCTAGTATTTCCAAGCCTATTAAATGGTTCTCCAACAAGAGTTTAAGGTTAAGCTTTCCTCGACTTCGCTCGAAATCCAAATCCTCAAGCTCCTTGCCATCACCAACTGTAATTCGTCCACCAGTACCTAATATCAGTACTAAAGAAGAAGATCTTCAAGTTGTCTTTCGTCGTTTTGATTGTGACGGAGATGGTAAGATTTCGAGCGAGGAACTCAGTGCTTACTTCGCCTCCATAGGCGACTACGTATCAAGACAGGAAGCTCAAAGGGTCATCAAAGATTTCGACAACAATGGCGACAACCGGTTGGAATTCAATGACTTCGTCAAGTTGATGGAAGGAGGCAATGAGGGCGACGATGACATTAAAAGAGCGTTCGAGATGTACGAGGTTGACAAAGGCTGTGGGTGCATCACGCCGGTAGGGCTGCAGCAAATGCTTAACCGTCTAGGGGATGTGAAATCGTATGAAGAGTGCGTTGCCATGATTCGAGTGTTTGATCTTGATGGCAATGGAGTGCTTGACTTCCATGAATTTCAACAAATGATGAGACGTGAACCATAGAAAAAGGTAGTGTAAGTAGAGTCTATACATATATGTATTCTACCAGGCACTAGCAGCTGAACGTCCCTACTTTTTCCCATTGAAATTATGCATGGAAAAAACCTTGTTAATTTACTCTCCATGTTTGTTTCTTTGTGGGTAGTGGGTACATCAGTGTTTTAAGTACTTTTTAAGCCTTTTGGCAGTAATACCATGGTCAAGGTTTTCTTTATATTGTCACTAGTATCAAATTGAATCAATAAAAAAAAATGAATGATCAAACAAATGTATCTGTTCTAAACTTGTAGAAAAAATCGGTAGTTTGCCTGTTCAGTCACGGTTTAACAAGAGACTTGACTAGGGTCAAGAACACCCAAGGTCTTGTATCTTCCTTCATTTCCACACCCAGACGGGGCCCAGCCCCATAAACCAAGCAAGGTAACGGTCCTTGTAAGCTTCAATGATGCTGGAAAATAATAGACAAAGATATACATGAATTCGATTTTCAATCATTCATAATTGTCGTGGGAAAATCCTACTTCGTTAATAATCAAGAATTAAACCGTAAGTTTTAAGTATAAGTCACACTTAAACATTTGATTCATTTATTAATGTATGATTCTTACTTAATAAAATAATGAAGCCTAACCTAATAATGAACAAAATTATATAACAAAAGCAGACATTGAGTTGATTATCCAAATCTGGGGGTAGCTCTAAAACTGTTGATAGGGGTGGCAAAGCTTGGATTCACGGGTTTGTTCAGGAGGTATGCAATGCAGTCAAATTTTATGTCATTCCAGGAATACTATAGCAAACAAGCTTGTATCACGGGCCAGCATATATTTTAGATAAACTTGAGACTAAACTAATGGAAGTGGGGTCTTAAGAATTTTCCTTTGAAAAAGAAAGAAATCGTTTGTTTTTGAACGTAAAACTTTGGGTAAAATAGCGTTGAGTCATTCTTTGTATTTTTGCAAGTAGGATCATTAAACTAATGAAGCAGCTCCTGAGGAAATTACACATTTTTGTAGCCTACGTAAGGCGTTGCTGTTTGAGTCAACAAACTCTGATTCATCTGTAATATTTTATAATCCTTAAACGCGTTTATCCCAACATTAATCCCATCAGGCGGCAGCTAGCATTCTTCAAATTCATATTCTCCAATCCGCAAATTGTTTCGTCTGAACTTTCACCATGAATCAGTTCCTTTTGTGCTTCCTCTCACTCAATCTTTTCACTTTACACATAACTGCTCAACAAAACTACTCAGGGAATTCAGCGTTGGGTTGCAGTAACAACGATGAATCAGGTCCTTCTCCAGCGTTTCTTTACACTTGCAATGGCCAAGAGCGACATTGCCAGGCCTTTCTTATCTACAAGTCTCAACCTCCTTTTAACACAGTTCCCAGCATTTCAGCTCTGACATCTTCGAACCCGGCAGAGCTTGCTACCATCAATACTGTAACAGAGCATGCGGAGTTCCCAACTAGTAAAGAGGTAATCATTCCTGTAAATTGCTCTTGTTTAGGCCAGTATTATCTGGCAAACACCAAGTTTCGCATTTCAAGCATTTACGGCACCTATCATACTATAGGAACCATGGCATACCAGGGATTGTCCACATGTAGGTCCCTTAAACGTGCAAACCCACTTAGTGAATACAAATTGGTTCCTGGAATTGAATTGAAAGTTCCACTTCGATGTGCTTGTCCAACAAGGTATCAGATTAAGAGTGGAACAAAGTATCTGCTGACTTACTCTATTAGCTTGGGGGATAATATTCCAGATATAAGTGATAGGTTCAATGTGAGCAAAAAGAGCATTAATGATGCAAATGGTTTGGAAGAAAAACAAACTATTTTCCCTTCCACGACAATCCTAATTCCTTTGCCAACGAAACCTTCAAGTTCACAAACCATAATTCACAAGGACCAACTGCATGATTCACCTCCAATTGTAAAACATCCTGAAAGCCATAGATCAAAGAGGAAATTGTATGAGTGGCTTGTAATCGCAGCAGCTTGTTCTATGCTGGTTCTTATCATCATTCTGTTCACAATCTTTGTGTTTAATAAGAGAAAGGATGGAGTTCCTCGGAGTGGCCATGAAAGAACGAAGATCAAACATGTATTGTCAGAAGACCTCCGAGTTGAAATTGCAAGCTTTGACCAAGGCTTGAGAGTGTTTACATTTGAGGAGATAAAGAAAGCCACACAAAATTTCAGTTCCAAGAACAGAATAAGCGGTTCTGTTTACCGCGGTGGTTTTGGTGGGAAGATCCTGGCTGTGAAAAGAATGAGACTAGATGTATCCAAGGAGGTACAACTGCTGAAGAATATCAATCATTTCAATTTGATAAAGCTTCAAGGTGTCTGTGAAAATGGTGGCTCTTTCTATCTTGTTTTTGAATATATGAAAGAAGGGTCTCTAAGGGATTGGCTTTGCAATCAAAGCCCCGATGAGATTGGGAGCTGGACGAAGAGGATTCAGATTGCTTTGGATGTTGCTTATGGACTTCACTATCTTCACAGTTTTACCAAACCAGCCTATGTGCACGGCGACATCAAGAGCAGCAATGTTCTGCTAAACAGTGGTCTAAGGGCCAAAATTACAAACTTCAGCCTTGCGAGAGCGGTGGTCAACGAAACAAGCAGCGTTGCTCAGACAGCACGTGTTGTTGGGACCAGAGGTTATATGGCACCTGAGTATATACAGACAGGTCAGGTTACTTCTAAGATTGATGTCTATGCTTTTGGAGTTGTGCTGTTGGAACTGATTACTGGCAAAGATGCCATCATTACACAAGATAGAAGAGAAATATTGCTGTCAGCAACAGTTGTTTCCATGATGGAAAAAGACAATGCAGAAGCTGAGCTCGATTCCCTTACCGATCCTAGGCTAAAATCTGATAATCGGACAGAAGTTGCACTTCGGATGGCTCAATTAAGTGTAGCCTGCTTGACAGAAGAACCAACAAAGAGACCAAGCATGGAGGATGTAGTGTCAGTTCTGTCCAAAATTCGGGCAGACCTACTTACATAGCAGCCGTTGTAAGGTTATTTTACTATATAGGATACAGTCCTGTTCTGTAAATTCTGATAAATGTTAGAAGTCAAGCCAACTGTTGAGTGGAACTTACTTTAGAAAAATTAATTCCTCTGAAACAAGCAATAAAAAGATGTCATATTGTGATTTTGATTATTTTTATTGCAGTTACACATGAAATGAAATTTACCTTGAAATGAAAGAGATTTAATAAGCACGGGTTTTCAAAACTAATAAATTTATAAAAATGAAGGGTGGCACTGAGAGCCACAAGGAATGAACATCAGTGCTTCTCCTAAAATCAACTCTATGGAGATAATGATCCTGTGTGCTTGGGCCTTTGGTTCTAATAGGAAAAGGCCCAGCTTTTAACTCTTTGAAAGAATAGTGAAGCATATTTTTGAGAATTTTGGGACTTGGGATTTCAGTAAGGGAACCTCCCAGTCATACGAATATGTTCAAGGGTTCTTCTAAGGCCATATTTATAAACTGCCTGATGGCCTGCTCTGAAACCATCTCCATACACAGGGGAAGTGTCTGATTCAATTTGGTGCTTGAAGAACTCCCCAAGCTTCCTCTCAAATTGAGGTCTTTTGCCCTTTTGTAATCTACTAGAAGCAGAGGATGAAGTTGATGCAACATTGCTGCTTGAAGCAGATTCGAGTTGGGTAAGTAACCACATGTGTGCTAACACCTGACAAATACCCTCCTCAACATCCTGACTAAGGGTCCGGAAACCTAACAAACAATAACCACATATGTCAGTGTCTTCCATATGGGCCAAAAAGAAACGATTTTTTCTACATATTATGAAGGAAAGAGGAAGAACCTTGAAGTCGCATCCATGCATGCATCATCTCATGGGCTAAGATTGACCCCGTTAGTAACCTACATGGTCAAAAATTTTGATTTTGCATCAAATACATCAGCATTGCTTAAACTAGCAGAATTAAGATAACTCAAGCTAGCATCATCTGCTACAGTATGCAAGGTTTGCAAAAAAGGCATTTGGGTCTTTAGAAGGCAAGAAGAGGCTATCAGGACTACAATTCTTTCATTCAATCCTCATAGACTCCATCCTTTTTTTTCTTTTCTCTTTTACCCTTGATTCAATTACTCCACAGACATGTAATAACTATAGAACCGACAGCACCATTTTATGTATCTTCATCTTGGGGGCCGCCTGCTCGTCAAGTGTGTTTAAGAATTAAGGCATACATGACTTCCAGTCTTAAGTAGGTATGATTAATTAAACTGATCTATACCATTAATAGTAGACATGATACCATTTTTCACCTTTTCCCCTCATTGTTTCTGTGGATTAATATGATAAAAAAACATGAAATTGCTATGTGGTAAGCAAGTAACATAAATATCTCTTTTCTGTTCCATCTTCTGCATCTAATTAACTTGTTCTGAGTCTCTATTTGTATGTTATCAGAAATTGTTTGATTACATGGGGACCTATTAATATATATGTAAAAGCAATCATGACAAGCAATACAATACCTTGGCAGGCCATATAAAATGAGAATCGCAGTCACTTCACATCGACGTGTCAGTTTGCAGGGCTCTGTTATCATGTCCATGGCTCGATTTCCTGTCCCAAATCTTGGTCGCCTTAGAATCTGATGATTTCAGGTTGAAGATAGTATAAATCTCTGACAAAAACTACTAATGAAAATTTTCAAGTATCATACATTAAAGCAAAAGAGAATTTTAAATATTCTTACAGTGCTGACAGTTTGTTCCTCAGAGAGGCAGAGTCCTCTAGTCTCTGGCATATGATAATGGCCCTGCCCAAGACAACATTTTAGAACACAATTGTAGAATATAAAGAAGTGACCAAACATTAACTCATTCTACATGGTATTTCCATGACATCTAGAAGCAGAAGTATGCCCATATTTTTTCAACATCAGTCAGACATGACTGAAAAGATGTTGCGTCAACATATGATATTGCTAAGGAAAAACATCCTAGAAATTATGATTTATGTCATTCTTTAAGCATTTTTTCCCTTACATTCTTTTCTCCCTCTCTGGCTTCATTCAAAGCTTGCCTTTCAACCAGGAGTAACGGAACTTGCTGCTCCACTTTCATATTTAAACCTTCATAAAATTCTAGTATATCCAGATAAAGGGGTTGGCATTGCTTGGTATCCATAACTGCAGAGTCCAGACACTCTAGGCAGAGCTTCCGTCCATCATTAAGGGCAACATATCCTGTGTCTCGTGGCTGCATATTAGGAGGAAATGTGTTAAACTTTCTCAACCTTTTCTTTCTTCTTCTTCAGAAATAGTAGCCAAGATTTAACTTAGGAAACTTAAGCTTACAACGATGCATGCATTTCATCATACTCACCTCCATTCGCTCACAGCTGCAGCACCGTGGAGTACCATCATGTTCATGAGAAGGGCAGTACTTCTGGATCCAAAAAGGATGTGCCCTATATTCAATAAGACCAGCAGGGTTTGTTGGAATCTGTCAAAAGTATATATCCCAGAAGACAACACAACTAGCAATGAGTGATGTGCATAAGAAATAGAAGATTTACTTTCTTCTGTTTCAAAACGACATAAAAAACAGTGTATAATATAAGATTTGAACATGATATGCATATAGAGGTTTCCGATGATATGCATTCAGATGTTTAAACATGAAACTGCATCCAAGGGCATTAACTATAAACTATGCTTTTTGCCATCATATCTGCATAAGACTCTATTCAGATGACACTTATATTTACTTGTATGACCTACAGGATTTTGGTTTATTTGGCACTTGAAATTCATTATTAGGTAAGAAAAACTGGATAACATAAGAAACACACTTATCATTTGGTATTACTATAAGTTTGTTATTGACATTCATTTGAAATATATATATATATATATATATGCACTGAAACATGCACCAAATCACAAATAATCCTGCCATAAATGTTAATGCATTGAATGGAGTACAAACAGCACAAATTCATATTAAATAACATAAGCCTGATGCAAGGGAAAAAAGCTTACAAAGTGGTTGCAGACATCACATTTAGGATGGTACCGCTCCTTGTAGCAAGATTTATGAAAACGATAATTCCCAGACATAGAGAACTATAGAAGAAAGTATGCATTAAAGTTAGCTTATTCATCACCCTAAACATCTAATGAAGGAACCAAAGATGGCAACGTTAATAGCCACCAAAAAGTCCACTAAGAATGTAAATTTGTACCTCATAATCAGAAATTGGAAGGTTGCAGGCATGGCAACGGAAACATTCTGGATGCCAAAATGCATTCAGGCAATTTAGAAATCTTCCATGACCAATCTCAGTATTGCAACCAGCACATATCCTACCAAAAATGAAATATTTGATCATGGGAGCAAAAAGGGTCAGGCTATATAATACAGCAACAGATTCTTTATACAATGCAGCATAATTGATGCCAAGAAAAGCCATTATCATCATACATTCACAAGAAAAAAGCTCAAAGATAAATCAATATTTAAGCCCTGATTAATTGAGCTGGTATGAGATAGATATTGCAGCTAATGACATTCATATACCTGTATCCCATCGGAAAATGGACCGGCATAGGTTGATACATATTTGCATTTTCATACTGGGGAGGAGGTTCAAAGTTCAAGCTTTCTTGTAAGGCCCTAGCAAGTTGCTCATCTTCCTCTAGTTGAGATTCATCATCTACCCAATAATTTGAGAAACTTAAGATTAGAAGGATAAGTAGGGAAGAAAAAGAATTACAATTCGATGGTAATATAAAAAAAAAATCTCAATTCATTTTATTAGAAAATAATTGGTTGATATCATAAAGTACAGCTGACAAGAACATTCATGGTAACATCAGGTAGACATGCCACTCACCTATTACCTTTCTCCCTTTCTGACTTTCCTCTAGCAGGGATAGGGCAATAGCACGATCTACATCTTCATTCTCCAGCTCCTGCCATGCATCCTACATTCATTGTTGAGACCAAGATGTAACATAGGAAACATATTAGAAGCTAATTAGACTAACTCAAATAGTCCAATGATTTATTTGTACAAGAAAGTATCCTTTAGAACCAATGCTTCATAATCTAATTTGTAACATGTCTACTACACAACCTAGCCAAATCCATCAAGTGATAAGACCTTATGTATGTCCTACCAGTAGCATTGCAGAGAGTAGGATGGGATCAAATCATCCAAAAAGTTGAGAACACATAAATAGCAATATGGAAAGAGAAATGGAGAAACAGTCACAGATATAAATACCCCTGAGACAGAAGGAGCATTAAATTGGGGATGAGGATCCTCCACATAATTTCCATGATAATGCCCCTCTGAAAATTTATGGGCACAGCCTTTAAATAATTTTTTAATCCAATCCATAATGCAGAATGTTATCTGCTCATGATAAATAAGGTTTCCACCTGCATATAGAACATACATTCATGCAAATCAACAAACAGATATTGCAAATTCTAAATAAATTTAAAAACAAATTCAGTAAATTCAGAAGGCCAAAATGAAGAGAGTTACACAATTCATGCCTAGATAAATGGAAGAAATGTATACTTTTAACGGAAGAATCATCAATCAACAAAGCTTGACAGGAGCTTCACCATTCTAATGTAGAAGATTAAAACGCAGCAAATAACATAATGGGGAAAACGCCAAGTAACAGTCATTTTATCGAGCCTAAACCGGTTCCTAAAGAATATAATCATAGTGGATCATAAGCAGCCTAGAAGAGAAGAATGCTAACGAGACTCGATAGGCTAGGCAGCTAAACTATTTTATGTTTAATAACAGCGGTTCATACATATAGACATCGAACAAAAACTGCCTACTATAGGTTACATTATATCAGTTCAGCTGCATTTGTCATTCAATGCAAGCAAGTCAAACCAGGATAAACAATTAGCAATCAAAATCACCCACCTGGCATTCTGCTACCCCAGAATGCTTAAGCTAAAAATCAGTGAAAAGAATCAAAATTCTCTCCAGAGCAAGTGAATATAAAGAGAGATAGAAAGAAAGAAAGAGAAGGAGAAGAAAAAACGGAAAACAGATTCTTTCCAGCTCAGGATGCCCCAAAAATTCATGACACATAACGACTGAATTGCAGGTTCAAAAAGAACAAAAGGTAAAGAATCAA